ATACAATCCGGGAACAAATCCAAAAAGGCAGGATCAAAGATCAATCTGTACCTTTCAGTCTCACCCGGCCACCTATTACGGGTCTTGCGCAGGCCAAGGTGGAAGCCTCCCCAGCGTCGCAAAATAGGCGCCCTGTGTTAGATGCCCAGTCCAGAAGTTGGAGTATTTCCAATCGCAGTTTCTCCACTGCGCTTGTCAGTGGTATCCCTGGAAAACGCGAGGTTGAACGAACTCGAGCGCTTCTCCTCACCTCGGGAATCAAGGCTCGGGAGATCACCCGCCGGGCCGGCACCGTGCGCGAGCCACCTCCTGAGTTCCTTCTGCGCACATATGATGATGCCTCCGTACCCGTGCCACGGGTGACTCGACTCTGCGAGTATGATGCCGCGGCGCAGGGACTACTCAACAGGTTCGAAGAGACCAACCGTGCTTTCCGACATGCCATGGACAACTTTTCGGGCTCGGTGTCATCGCCCCTGAATGCTCAGCTGAGCAGACTCGAGAAGATAGTCAATGAGAGCATCAGCCCTCGCGTTCAGGCAGCGACTCAAGATGCCGAAGATCTGAGCATTCAGCTCAATACCACAAGCACCCTCGCGGTAAAGCAATTGAGCGATACCCTCGATAAAGGTATGCGCAGGCGTCATCGCAGGTTGCGCTGGGTCCGACGTACAGGGTTTGTCATGCTCGAATGGGCGCTCGTTGGTATGCTGTGGTGGGTCTGGCTCATTGTCATGGCTTTCAAAGTGCTTCGCGGCGTTTGTCGAGGATTTCTCTCGGGCGTTCGATGGATTCTGTGGCTGTAATTACAGGCAGAAATGGACTGACTCGGGTCAGTTATTGTCCAAGCCGTTTTCTTCTATTTCGTACTTTCCATTTCTTTGTACTATACATTTTTAATTTCGAGTATCTAGATAATAATGATGTCTTGTGACCCTTTTTGTGGTCTGTGTTGAACAGTGAAGCCAAGAGATGGTGATAACAAGCACCTACCCTATAACTAAGAAAGAGGTACAAGTGGAAACTGGTAAAGTGACATGGCACGTTCATCCCATGAAGGGAACAGCATGTACTGTCGACCACAGTACCTCACTGCCCGCTTGTCGGTACTATCCTTTCATCACAGACGGAAAATCCCGCACAAAAGCATTGTTTTCTCGTCACGCTGATGGTGGAAAGCTTGCAGGAGATTTTCGACCGATTCTTTATTCCGCCATAACTCAAACCAGCATCAATTCTCAGGTACGCCGTACTGACAAGATATATATGCTGCGTTTGATCCTTCCCGCACGCGTCCCCTTGTCGTTATTTCATCTCTTCCCAGAACACTACATACTTGGTACATTACACACATGCGCGATCTAATCCCAGTCTACAAGGTATATCACCAGACATACTGCTACATTTCCAGATCGACACATCACACCCGATTCAACCCAAAACCCACATACAGTATCTCACACCCCCTCCCCACAGTAACTGCTATACGTCATTCAAAATGCCATCGCTAAAAGGCATATTGCATGGTCGCAAAACCACCACTGACTCGGGTCAGCAGGACGGTGGCGGTGGTGGCCTTCGCCGCTCCAACGCAGTCAAGCACCACGGCCAGCAGCAGCAGCAGCAGCAGCAAGCATCCGCGGGAGGCTTCGACTTTCCCAGGCGGGAAGCAGTCCGTACCAACACATCTCCGGGCCTTGGGTCTGGCGGCCAGGCCCCGATGGTGGCTCATGCGCAGGCACGAGCAGCTACCTCTGCGGCCGCGCAGTCGGGTTCCGGGTGGAGCTATGTTCCGGTCAATGTCCAGACTCGACAGCACCACGGCCATGGCCACAGCCCGGAGCAGCGAGAGCAGCTGGAGCGGCGACAAGAGCTAGAAGATGTACATTACCAGCGGACGCAGCGGTGGGTGGCCGAGCAGCAGAAGCGCACGATGCTGACGCCGCCGGTGACGCGGAAACCGGTGGCTCCTCAGCCACCGCAGTCTCAGTCTCAACTACGACCAGGAAGACCACAAATGCAGCAGAAGCAGCCCATTATTCCCAGCAGCGGAAGCCGACGGCCGTTGTTCAAGAACGATGCCGAATTGGATGACTGTGTGCGCAGCACCTCTCCTCCCTATGAGGATGGGATCCTGAACCAGGGGGATTGGAAAACCGGTAAGTCCGTCCATACCGTGCAGGCCAGACGGCCGGTCCACATCGTCACTCCCAGCTTGTGCCCTATCTCCCGAGTAGCGTCGCCGGTGGATGAGATCTCCGATCAGAGAGAGGCGGCTCGTAGGGCTTTGTGGCGGAGGAATTTGCCTGGTAGGTGAAGTGAGTCCAGTCGGTAGGGCTGTTTGGGATGGGCTGCGTGCTGGTCTCGTAGCTTTCTTGTGGTTCTCTGATTTCATGCATTGCGTGGGGGGGATGGGTGCCGTATGTCAGCATTAGCGCCAATAGGTTTTTTCTCTGCTGTGTATGTTGAATGAGATTGAGCATAGCTCGTCAATAGACTTTCCTGATACGGTGTTAATTCAATGTGGTTGATATTTTCTTTGTCCTTTTATTCTTCTTGCCCTTGTTTCGTGACTTTGTGGTACATTGATATATTTTGGTTTAATGGAGATAGACTCCGAAGGGAGACATTCCAAAACCCCTGATGCTTCTTAAGTAAAAATGTAGAGCCTTTGAATATAATAAGTGTTGTACTATCAGCAGCACAAAGTATGTCTAAATAAATATGCACCTCAATAAGCAGCAACAATCATTCTTTGGCTCTCAATAAACAATGGAAACAGTCAGTGCTGTTGTTGGAGGTTGAAAGAAAGAGTGATCACGTGCCGCATACAGCCCGGGACCCTGCCTTCACCGCCCAAACAAGCTCAGGAACGACTGACAGAATGACCTCAGGCGGTCAGAGCGGGTTAACCCAATCAGGAACCTCAGAAATACATGTGTAAGACTGCCATGGAAGTGCATCCACCGCCCAAACTACCCGTGGGTGGGGGGATTACCCATGCTTTACATGGACGGCGGCTGCTGCTACGAGACTATCTACGACTGTTACAGTATGTGTTGACCGATTTTTCGTTTCAGATAAGGTTAGAACAAAGAATGCAATCATTCCAAGAAAACCGTCATCTCGCAATGGATTTGAAGGGGGGGGAGGGGAAGGAGAGAAGAAATTCAGTGGCCTCCAGGCTTATCCGTCCCTCCCCACCCTCTCGTGTCCGGGCCCAGAACGCCGATCAGGAACCTGTCTGCCAGGCGAGCGATTTTTTTTGGTGACCCGCATGACGCAACGCAATGTGGCTGGGATGCTGTCGTCTGTCTAGTCAACGCAACGCAACCCGCCGTCGGCACTCATAGAAACAAAAAAAAATCTCTCAATGACTGACTCAAACTTTGGGAGGCGGTCAATTCCCTCCTGTCTTGTCTTTTGTCAGGGGACAATTTTTTTCGTGTTGAATGGATGGACTAGATTTTGGGTTGCATGGGTCATGAGGGATAATTCGACATGCCACCAGATCGAATCATCTGGCGGAACTGGATGGGAGATCTCGATCCGAGGTCCATGGTACCAATGAGTTCTTCAGTAGTCAAAACAATGAAGACGAACTGGAATCAACTACTGCAGTGGCACAGTGGGTGGCATGCAGTGTGAGAAGACGAGACGAGACGAAGACCACGTCAACCATGTCTGCATGCCTGCTGTTTTCGCCCGGCCTTGAGTTTCTGCAAGATGCAACGGCGGGTCGGGGATTGAGGGAAGAACTCGAGGACTCGATCATGATTGGAATTTTAGGATGCTCATACTTGTAGTTATGGAGAGGCGATAGGCAAGGTAATCGTACTGTGTCGAGGAAGGCAGATAAGCTTGGAGTACTTGATTTTGTGTGGAAGAAAGGAGAAGAGAGGCTGCAAGGCTGCAAGTCGCGCATGTCAGTCACAATACCGTCACGGACTCATCGACTCTATTTTCCGGGTCACGGCTGATGCCGTAAGTGTCTGTAACCAACAAAACAACCCCACTACGTCCTATTACGGCTACGGAGCACTGGCTACCGCTTTCCCTCTCCCTCTCCATTTCCCCCTCCCCCTTCTTTACTTCCTTGTGTTCGTTCCTCTCACCACACCACATCCCCATTCCATCCAGGTGAGTTTCTCTCCTTACGCTACCTTGTTCCTTGCTGCCTATACACCCCCCCTACATCAATGATTTTCAGGTCATCTGTCATCTTCCTGTCAGATCAAGGAATCAGCATCATTCCCCCACCCCCCGGTGTCTGCCTGACGCCGTGCCCTTTGCCCTAAATTTCCCCCCTCCACCGGAAAGCGTCGTTAAAATTCTGCACGCACCTCTTGTCTCCTCCCCCCCCCCAGCACCCTCCCCCTCGGTCTACCCCCCACGACCCAGGAATCAAATCTCGCATCCCTTTTATCTTGATATCCGAGTTCTCGTTGCTCATTTCTTTTCCCGCTCTCTTTCAATCCCGCCGCTAACAGTTGGGCTGCTCGGGTCAGATCGTTTCTTATTTCTCGGAACTAGAAAAAACCCTGTTTTTTCTCTTTCCCTCTTCACCTCACTCTTCCTCAATCGCATTTTCAAGGCCTTTGGAATCCACCAGTTCCAAAGGCAACCCAGGGCACCACGGCTTACACAGCCTCGCTTTCTCTTCGTCAAATTGTATCGCATAGACGTCAACGCGACACTCTTAATAACATTCCCCCTCCTTCTGGTCTCGATCTCCGTCCCTCCGTCCGGTGCGCCATTTTTTCATAAATTGACGCCCTCACAATTCACACCTTCGCCTTTTGAGCTGCCGCATAGGACTTCTCTGAAGGTTCTTCCTCTCAAGGAGGAAGGGTCTAGGAGGCTTGGTCCAGTCAACCTCGGTTGCGAAACTTTTCGTCCTCCCTAACACGCAGTCGCGTTCAAACCAACTTTTTTTCCACTTCCTTTTTTATATCTTTATCTAAAGACCTATTCCGTGCTTCGTCGCAGCGCGCATGGTTATGGCACCGACTGCTTGTTTGCCAGCTGAAATATGCACCACTATCAAACATATTCCCGACAAAAACGACTATAATCTCAATTGGGATCATGGTCAATTCAGCTATCATGGAGAGGACGATCAGCCGCAGTCTAGGTTGGCTGCCAAGGAGCTTATCCTGGACGTCCTGAAGAAGCGTGCGTCTGAGGTGGACGTGGACGCGTGCGCCCCGGGCGCCGAAGATGCCTTTTATGTGGCAGATATGGGCGAGATTTACCGCCAGCATCTGCGTTGGAAACTGAACCTAAGCCGTGTCCGGCCCTTCTACGGTAAGTTCGATTCGATTGAAGTTGGACGACTACGGAGGAAGACAGCGACTGATGTCGATATTCATTAGCCGTCAAGTGCAACCCGGACCCTGAAATCCTCCGCCTCATGGCCAAGCTCGGCAACGGTTTCGACTGTGCCTCTAAGGCGGAAATTGACCTGGCTCTCGAGACTGGTATCGATCCGAGCCGCATCATTTACGCGCAGCCTTGCAAGACCAAGTCGTACCTGCGCTATGCAGCCAAGATGGGCGTGAAGCAGATGACCTTCGACAATGCCGATGAACTGTACAAGATCAAGTCATGCTACCCTGACGCAGAGCTATACTTGCGCATCCTTACGGATGATTCTTCCAGCATGTGCCAGTTTAGTATGAAGTTTGGAGCATCGATGGATGTCGCTCGTCACCTGCTGGAGGTTGCGTACCAGCTCGAGCTGAAGGTTGTTGGTGTGAGCTTCCACGTCGGGTCTGGTGCTGAAGACCCGAAGGCCTTCCTGAAGGCCGTGCAGGACGCGCGGCTGGTCTTCGATCAAGCCGCTGAGGTGGGCCACGAGCTTCACACTCTCGATGTTGGTGGAGGTTTCAGCCAGGATACCTTCGAAAAGTTCGCTGGTGTTCTCAGTGACGCTCTGGAAGTCTACTTCCCGCCGAACATCCGTGTCATTGCCGAGCCCGGCCGCTACTACGTTGCCAGCGCCTTCACCTTGGCTGCCAATGTGATTGCTCGTCGTGACGTGCGGGACCCCGAGAACCCGACGCAGGATGCGTACATGTTGTATCTCAATGACGGGGTGTATGGAAACTTTTCCAACATCATCTTTGACCATCAGCACCCTGTGGCTCAGGTCTTGACCTGCGACCCTGATGTCAATCCTCCGAATGCTGCGACTTCGGAGGGCATCGCTTACTCTATCTGGGGGCCGACCTGCGATGGCATCGATGTCATCAGCAAGCGCATTAATCTTCCGGCCCTCCTGAACGTAGGTGATTGGCTGTACTTTGAGGATATGGGAGCCTACACCAAGTGTAGCGCGACCCGCTTCAATGGTTTCTCGGACAACCACGAGGTGATCTATATCTCCAGCGAGGCTGGAGCTTCTGCTCTCCTCGAGTACTAGGTGTTTTTATCTCTGTCTTTGTTCATTGCGTTTTTCTTGGATTTAATGCACACTTGTCTTTGTCTTTTATCAAGCAACCGGTGCTGCTTTCGCAGCGCGCTTGTCTTGATTCATAACTCATCCATGTCTTTCTTTAATAGAGTAGTTGCAAGGGGGACTCCCGAGGGGAGCTTTAACTTTAGCAGAAGTCTGTATTTAGTGCTTTTTTTTCGGTGTGTGTTCAACACAGCCATGTGCAAGTCCCGCACCTGCTCGTTCGATTGATTATATTTCGTTCATTACTGCTATCCTTCTGGCCCTTCCTTTCCATTCCATTCTCTAGAAGTCGTCTATCATTCTTCTGGGAATCAAGTCTAACTATCATAGAACCGAACGCTTCCGCCGCAACCCTTCAGTCGTTTCGTCCCTCCGTCATAAAAGTCATGTGCCAAATATCTAAAGCGAAAAGAAACTGAGATCTAGTTCCAAAACAGTCATCATGCCCAGGAGCCAGCCCCTGCGCGCTGTATATGGTAGGTAAAAGAAGGTAAATAGATTGCATGTCGGACGCTTTAGAGCAGTCGCTCCACAACCAACTCGGCGTCGTTGGATCCAGCAACCTGTACGAGGCTACCGGCTTCGAGCTTCTTCTTCCACTTGGCGGATTCATAGCGAGCCAAAATCAACGTAATCCGGGCTACCACGGCGGGGTCAGCGTTCTCAGCGACGATGTCCGATGGTGTGAAGGTCCAGCGACCGAAAGCCCAATTCAGAATGTAATAGCGGGTGGCGGGGCCGTTGGCCGAAGGGGGAGCGGGCGTGACGGCGCCTTGATCTTCCGAAGATTCCGCGGGAGGTGAGCTGGTCGAGCACCGCATGATGCCCTTGATGCGATAGACTTCTTCCTTGGAGGCGGAGCGAAGGAGGTGCTCCAGAGCCGGGATGTCGACGACGGTGGCATCGGTGGACTTGAGGTTGACGGAGAGGACTTCCACCTCGGACTGATGATCGTTCTTGTGCTCATGGTGATCATGGTCGTCATCATGGTCATGGTGATCATGACGATGCTCTTCCTTGGCGAACAAGGCCCCGTCAATTCCCAGCAGAACATCCTTGTCGACCTTGCCGCGATCGGACTTGACCCACGGCGTGGGGACTTCGAGGTCCCCGACCCGGTCGAGGCAGATGTCGAAGCGCATCTCCGACACATTCTCCCACTTGTTGAAAATGATCAGATCGGTGTATTTCGCCTGCAGCTTCGCCGTGTACGAGGTGTCCTCGTACCCCTCCCAGTTCTCTACGTCGATGACACTGATGACCCCGTCCAGGACGAAGGTCCCCGGGTTCTCGCGCGCCAGGCGGTTTACCTCCATGGCCAGGGTGGCGGGGAAAGCGCTCCCGCTGGTCTCGATCACGATGCGGTCCGGGCGGACCTCGGTGCGGAGCTGCTCGAGCGCGTCGCTCAGCTGGCCGACGAGGTTGCAGCAGATGCAGCCGTTGAGGAGCTCGCGAACCCCGGAGATGGACTGCGTGGAGGCGAGCTGGGAGTCGACCGCGACGTCGCCGAATTCGTTTTTGAGCAGCGCGAGCCGGTAGGTCGCGGGCAGTTGCGGGATGAGGTTGAGGAGGAGGGTGGTCTTGCCGGAGCCGAGGAAGCCGGTGACGATGGTGATGGGGATTGGAGGCATTGTATTAGGAAGGAATGTAGAGCTCTAGAACAGGTAAGTCTATAGGTGTAAAGTATAAGTGTAATGAGGGAAAAAATAGAGAGAGGGTGGGTGAGTGAGTGAGTGAGTGATCGAGTGGAGAAGGCGAAAGAAGATAAGAGAGTGCAGTGCGGATGGTTGATTTCGGACGGCAGAATTCGGCGGTGGCGGAGGGGCTGCGAGGGGGTGGCGCTAGTCTGGATTGGTAGAACCCTAAGTCAACTAACTGGCTTTGACGTTGATTCACGTGTAGACTTTCTGCAGGGTCGGATGATTCGTTTGTGAGCCCATCTTAGAAGTAATGGATTGGCTACGAGGGGACTGTAGAGGCTGTTTCAATCATGACTTTGTACGATGTACTGTACATCAGCGTGCGGAAGAATACGGTGCCGCAGTCACTTCGGACATGAAGTGATCGGCCGTGGTTATTCCCAGTTGTTAACATGACCCCTGAAAAAAGGGCTAGGTGGCGTGATGCTAAACGGCTAAGTTAAGTTTCGAGTTATAGTATGCTTTCAAGCTGGCCTTTTGCTTTGCTGTGAAGCGAGACATCTTCCAAATAATCGTAGCGCTTTATGATAGACACGCACCATACAACCACCCGCTGACTGCTCGTATGTGAATCGAGTTCGCCCCACAACACAGTAGTAGAAACTATGCCATTCCAAGTGTCCTGTCAAGAACAATAAGAGAAGTGAACACAAAAACCAAATGGCCCGATAATCTCCGCCCTCGAGGCATGAAATCCCAACCTGATCCACAGGGCTGAAAGTTGCCTGCACCAGTGCAGGAGTTACCCGGCCAAGTCCCCCGATGATATCATCCCCCTTCCGTCCCGTTTAGTTACCCGCTTGATGTCATCTCCAGCCCTACCAGGCTACAGCCGATTTCCGGAATTGAATTGGGGGGGATTGTTTGATCTAGACCAGACCATGTCAAACTTTTCTCATCCCTTTTCCTCTTACTTGCCTATTAGCTTGGTCTTGAGTTGTACCTCGAACCTTTTCCTTTCTGTACTGGACAGTACTTTACCCGAGCAACATTCTTAATCCATCATCCTTCTTCTATTACCTGTTACTGTGACCTTGGGTTTCTTGGGATCTTGTGCTCTTGTACTCGAGAATGAAAACCATCGACGACACCGCCCGCGACCTCGGCTGCGTGGCCCCCCAAGAAGAAGAATTCCTCGAACGCCAACGACAAGAGCGAGAACGCGAGCTGCAGCTGCCAGCCCAAACGCAAACGCAAACGCAAACGCTAGAGCAGCAGCCGCAGCATACCCCCTCCGACCCGGCCTCCATCACCTCAACCACGACGACGACGTCCACATCCACATCCACGTCCTCGTCCTCGGGAATCCTCCCGCCCCCCGAGAAAATCACCGAGGTGGCCAGTTCCTCGATGCAGGAAGTGCGGACGATGCTGAACGCGGCGTACGAGAGCGAGCTGGTTGGGAAGGCGATGCAGCGGGTCCGCGAGTATGTGCCTGGGTTAGCTGGGGGTGCGGGGGAGGGGGATGGTGAGTTTTTGTTTTCTTTTTTTTCTTTCCCCGAAGATATCTGCGCGTGAGATGCGGTTGTCGAATTGGCTTGCTGACCCGGTTGCTTTGTATGAATGAATGCAGGCGAGGAGGACCGATCCGCCGCCGACCCCGAGGAGATGCGCCGGATTGACGCGCTGGAGAAGGAACGAATTGCGGAGTTTCTGCAGGAGAGGACGCGGACGAAGACGGATCTGGAGAAGAAGTACCATCATAAGGAGCAGCCGCCGCCGAGGCAGTAGCAGTGATTGTCCATTGTTTTTGCATCCAAGAATCAATTGTTTGATCGCGCTTGAGCCTGTTTTTTCTTTCTTCTTTGCTGTGTGTTGTGTACAGATGAATGCGATTGTGAATCTCGACCCGCTTTGCTTCCTGCTTTTGGGAGCCATAGTACTCAAGCCTCAGGCTGTGCTGTTCGAAAGCTACGCTACGCTACAGCAAAGCCCGCATCCCCAACTCCCCCCGCCGATCCAACCCCAAGAACTCTGCCACCTGGCCCAGATGATCCACCCCGAAGAACCCCTCCGTCTCGCCCTGCGCATTCGTGCACTCGAACCAGGGCACCCCGAACGCCCCGGCCTGGAAGGCCCGGTCCGTGTTGGCGGTGAGCTGCGCTTTGATCGCGGGGGTTTGCATCTACTCGTTTTTATCAGCTGTCTTTCCTGAGTAGTCTCCGCAGGGGAAGGCAGTCAATGTTAGAGAATAGGAAAGGGGGAAAGGGCTTACAGCCTCAGTCACCCGCCCCGCCACCTCGCCCCCCAACACCCGCTCCAGAACCGGCACGAAACACCCGGGCTCCGCGATCCGCCCGTCCCCCTCCACCCAGAACGTCCGGTAGAACGCCTCCTGCACGGCCTCGAACTGGGTAGGGGCGAGCTGCGCGACGGCGGCTAGCGCCCGTTGCGTGTGCAGCGTGCGCGGCGGGAAGTCCGGGGGTGGGGTCGGGATGATCGGCACTGAGAAGTAGGTCGCCCAGCGCGTGCGTTCGCGGTTGATCCAGGCGGATTTATCTGGGTAGTCCACACATGGTTTGGTTAGTCGGGGCGTGCCCTCGGGAGCGGGGAAGGGGGGGGGGATATCATCGATCATGGCGTAGGCGTACTCTTGATCTCCACGGGTGGGGTGTTCCCGCAGGCGTGCATCAGGCCACCCAGGAAGATGGGGATGTAGGTTATTTTGCAGTTGGCGAAGATGGGGGAGTTCTGCGTCGTGCGGTTAGTTCGGGGGTGGTTTTTTATAGTTCTTGGGCGATACGTACTCGGAGGACGTGGAAGGCGATATATCCGAAGGGGCTGACGGTGTCTATGTAGAGGGTTATACTGGGGGCGGACATTCTGTGGATCTCACTGGTTGCTTGGGTAGATATCTGAGAGGTGGAGAATTGTTTTTTATCTCCTCAGGTCTATGGTTTGAGATATTCTTAACTATAAGTGTCGGTCAAAGGCAGGCCGGCAGTCATGCTCTCCTCCGCACGGCTGACTCAGCGCCCGCAAGCCGAGGTTGTTGGTGTTGATTAGTCGTGTTGGGGTGCATTCGGGGGATCTGCAGAGCACAAGTATAAGCTCTACAAGCGTTCTCGTGAGAATGCATGGGGTTGCGTAGAATTGAAGCCAATCAGGTCAGCGTTTCTCGAATCCTCAAAACAATTACTCACATTCGTCTTCTCTCGTTCCAAGCCTCCCTGCTTGCGTACGATGGTTTGCATTTCGAAGCGAGCATGATCCGAAATCAGGTTCCGAGAAAACACACATGCAAGCAAGCACACTGAGTGAATAGGCCATTTTTATCTCTATTCAATGTATTATCTGCCTTTTCCACACACAGGAGAGGACCAGAAACCTATAATAACGGGTCGTGATCCTCCCAATCCGTCTCACACCTATTTACGTGGCGGCGGAGACTGAGCAGGCCGCGAGCATCCCAGCAGTCCGGCCAGCTCGCGTACCAGTCCAGAACCTCCGGGATTGAGTCAAAGCATCGTCTCGTCCGCGGCGAGGGTCAGCCGGGGGGGGGGGGTGCTGATGATCGTGGTGTTTGTTGCCATATTGGGTTAGAAGCTAACTGTTGCACAGGCTTGACACGACTTGGAAGAAGGTTGGCAATGACTAGGAGAGGGAAGGGAGTCTTAAGCCTGAGCCTTCCTGATCACATGCTGGGAACCCACTACTATTTGGGATATGAGTGTATACTAGGAGGCTGGAGTATAAGTAAGAGGGCATGCGAGTATATAAGCCTGAATGCTGGATCAAGCACCCCAAGCATATGTAGGATGGGGGACTCAACAACTCCGGACCATTTGACAAGCAGCAAGCAGTTGCAGTCATACTTCTGGGTTGCTCTTGCCGTCCCTCGACGATTGTCAACCATCTCTCCCCAATTCTTCCCAGTCCATCATAATGTCTTCCTGCAAGCATACTTCACATGCAGGAATACGAGAAGCAAGCCCAGCGAGCAGAAGCAAAGATGCAGGACTCTGAGCGAAGAACCCCAAGTGTAACACCCCCCATCGAACTGCTTACAGCATTGCCCTAAATCTGACTTTGGCATAGCATACATCGACACCCCAGATCCCCTTCAATGCTTGTTCAAGTCGCGAATCGATCATTTCTCCGGCCCGGAAGAGGGCTTCGCAGTCGCCGACCCCGAGTCGATATCTGTTGCAGAGCTCGATACCCTTGGCCAAGCGGAATGGTTGCGCCCGCCTGCAGTCGTGCAGGGACATGCGCTTAGGCCTAGACGAGATATGGTCGATCCAGGAGGGATCCCTGGTATTGTGCATCAACCCATCTTTTACCATATCCGACCACGTGCAGCTGAGATGGGATGAGCTTGAGCTCGTGGCCGGAGAAATCCTGGTCGTCTGCCGCCTGTATGCCGATTTGTGGGCCCTTTGTGCTAGTGCTTCGTTTCCTTCCGCCGCAAAATCCAACAAGACGGCCAATGCCCAGCCAATGAGCCTTGCAGTCGTGCCTCTCTGCGCAGTGACACTTGCAGCGAACTTCAGTGCTTTCAATCGAAGATGCATCGAACATGATCTTCGCGACCCCAGTGCTCCGAGACTTCCAGGAAACGGACTCCCTGTGATGCCGCCTCCTCGTTCGTGCAGCCTCATTGATGGTATGCAGCTGGCTCAGTCTGACAGACTGCATAACCGCCTTCCAGAGGTAGTATCCGATACGCTCAACAAGGTGTTGCCGGAGTGTGTTGAAGCTGATTATGTGCCCCTTGACCTTCATGTCGGAGCCCTCCTGTCCAGTCTGAACCTTTCCAATCTGAAAGTTAGACGCAATCGCCAGTCACAATGTCTAGGTAATCCTGCAGCGGTTGATTTGCAACCGCAACCCACTGAGCCAGATCCAAGACCTGCCTCCTATGCAAGCCATAGATTCAGAAAACTGCTTGGACTTGCGTGATCCAAGGTCATTCGCACTGGTGGTACTATTTGTGAATGCGATAGACAGTCTCCATTAGGGAAAGACCCGAGAGAGATGGACATGAAAGGTTATGAACACAGCTTTATCCATGCTAGATATCGTGTTTGCTCCAACTTATTCGAAGCCTTGAAAATGGGGTTGCTCGCACTGGACTGAAGCACAGTAGTTGACTGGTAGCAACTCAGCAACGAAGACAGGTCGAGTCAGCACTTGGAAGTGTCAGATCTCATATTGTAACTACGTTCACATGGCAGACAAGAATGAATTATTAGAGGATGACCAGGTAGTTCCCCCAGTGATTCCCATTGATTGAAAGGCGGAATAAGATGAAAGCTCACTGAGACTGTGAACAATAGTCTTGGGTATGATATTCATCGAGTCCAGGCCATTGCTTAGGATCGCAAGTGATTCTTGATTCCCGTAGTATGGAACATCTAGTCCACCAGTTATCAAGTGTTTAGATGTGCTTTTGGTCGTTCAATGGGCGATTGACCGGTCTTGAGAACCGTCAGTTCCCGAAGCATATTAGAATCAATGATGAGTTAGATCGCATCACTAATGAAGACAAGATGCCTTGCGGTTGGATGGCTCGACAAGAGGCTCGAGAAGTGGCTTGTTAGCCTTTAAGCATCCCTGCCGGAGGGTGATTTGACCCTTTGCATGAGTGTCACGGAGGCCAGAGAAAGCAATAGCGACAACGCCTATTGCTGTCAGCCCTGATGCCTTCCCTTTCGCCCAAAGCAATGTAGTTCAATCTGGTCCAGTTGATCATGCTCGGATGGAAGCTGCATGTGAGCCAGATGCAGACTGCAGATATTTGCCGACCGCATGAGATCAAAGAAGACGGTTTCACTTTCGTGTCGTCTCTTCAACGCCACCAGGATGACTGCATCCGGCGACATCTGCAGCAAGCGGTTTAGCACCAAGACCAACGCAGGTAAGCTGTCCGCATTGTAGGTACAATCTGAGACCAGGATCAGGTCAATGGAGCCACCGCATAAATCGTCTGGCAGCGGCTCATCCCAGTCCAGAGTTTGAAATTGGAGTGCCGAGGACTTAGCAGGTCGCGCAACCGCAATATTCTTCGTCACAATTTCTTCGACCTCAGGAAGATCGGTCAGCGTGACAAAGCACTCGGGAAGAAGCTCTGCCAGCGCGATTCCTACAATGCCACATCCAGAACCCAGTTCAATGGCGTGAAGTGGGCCGTTGCGCGATCCTCGAAGAAGCGCTTGCAACGGTGGCGCAGAGATCTCTGGGTCTCCCGCAACTATCTTCTGAAGATAGACAACTGACGCTACCGCTGCATCCCTGGGACATATGAGAGTTAGCTGAGAACAACAGTCCCCTTGGAGATAAAGAGGTGTCTCACCAGATATGCCGGGCGATACTGTTCCCGGTTTCTTCCCAGATTCGGAGGCCGAGCTTGTCATCTGGCCCAAAGCGTCGTTCAACGAGCTTCTCCGCTACTAAAGTCTGTGATCCGCCAAACGGAGCACTCCAGCCTGATACAACTAGCGGAAATTCGGACTTTCCAATGAGTGAGTCTGGTAACGGTGCCTGCAGCTTGGCGGAGTTGGCAGGGGATACTGCAAGCACGACTGTGTGTTGAGACAGGTTGGCGGGGAATGGCCCCAGCGATATCGGTACTTCACGCTTGCCTGCGTTCCATGTCATGGGTTCCTGATACAGGACCTTTCCTGTGCCATGAGCGACCAGGGTCACATGCAAATCCACATCTTGAGTGAGGAAGGCATCCCCGAGATCGGTAGTGATGCAGACCAACGCGGAGACTGATACAGCACCTTTCTGCTTGGCAAACCTGGGGGTTTTTAGGAATCGAATATAATAAACCATGATCACGAAGAATAATTCCTGAACTGCATCCGAACAGATTAGAGATGCCCATCCCGAACAGGAAGGCGACCCGTGGACCCGAGACCCGTGACCCGTGACCCGTGACCGTAGGGCACGTGCTTGGACCGTTGGTGCTGACTAAGGAGTGGGAACGATGACATCGGCGTCTTGCTTCCTCAGGCTGCCATTCCTATCCATTCCCATGGGTTGGCTGGTTGGTTGCTTTGGTTATTCGTTGTGTCTTCTCTGATCTCTGATCTCTGAGGTCTCATCTCTCTTTCCACCAATGCGGTCTCTACCTATCAACCGACTGCCGACTTCACTGTTTCAGTCTCTCCCCCATCATCGTCGCGCGGACTTGATGGGGCCCAGTTGGTTGAGGTTCTTGATTGAAAGTGATCTGAGCCTTATCATTATTTACCCCTCGGCTGTGGCATGACAACAATTAGTTCAAGACGTTAAGCCAGCAACCGTTGTCCCTTACCGCCCACGCCCTACCCAAACCCGCCCCCGGTTTAACATCATGATGCGATCAAAGGACCCTCGAGTCCGCCAGAGGATAAATCAAATCTCCCACAACCTTGAATCCGCAAACGAGACAGCCCAGGAGGGCCTCTACACCTTCTCTCACAACTATATCCTGCCGTGTTTCACGGCCATCGGCAACTGCGTCTACAGCTGCACGGCACCCTGTCTTCCAACCCGGGAGGACCAGCTGCGTCGGCGCCGACGCGGCCGCGCGGAAGCGAACTTTGACTTCTATGACGATTGGGACAACGAGGACTCCAATGCTGGACTGTTGGGATGGGGCACCGATGAACTCGACCGCCTGCTGGCTGGCAGTGGTTTGGCCCGTGGCGGTGCCGAGCAGCCTCGCCGGCAGAGACGGATGAGCTACGGGACGCGGCGTGTCCGTCGGAAGAGCACGGCTCTGGCCCAAGATGAACGGAATGACCCAACCGTCATCCCCAGCTCCTCGTTCCTGGGATTCCTCGAGCGGTTCCCCTGGCGCTTCGGGGCGCGCGGACTGAAATACCGTCCCTCGGCGGCGGACCTGCAGGAACATCCGGCGGGGGGACTGCGGAGGCACGTCTACGAGGATGAGCCGCTCATGGAGGCAGCGGAGGATTACGATGCCCAGCCGTCCGGGAGCAAAGGCCGGTATCGGAGTTCGACCCAGTCGTCGCGGGAGACCACGAACTCGCTGAGTTCGCGCGGGGATTTGATTCCCAGCGATGACGAAGAGGATGCTGTGCCGTTGGATGATGAGTTCGCCATGGCTCTGGGCAGCCGTCGAGGAACGGGATTGGACTCGATCGACATGATCGGGGATAAGCCGGCGAGCATGCGGTCCGCGTCCGGAACGTTTAGTCTGGGGACCACCAGTTCGTCCAAGGCCTCCAAGAAGAAGCAGAAGAAACAGCGGAGCAGCCGGCTTCGTTCCCCGCAGGAGTCCTACGTAGATATCACCCGTGACGATAGCACACCTTCATTGGCCGATCTCAAGAAGGAGGAGGAGGAGCAGGCGGCGTATGAAGAAGAATCGGAGATTGCAAGGAAACGGCTGGCCGCACAGCACTTGGCATCGAACCGTGGTCTTGATCATCAGGTTAGTCGTTGGCAGTTGCACTGCCTTGCGCGGTCTTCAAAACTATGCTCTAACTCCATTTCACTAGCTTTCTCCATCGGCGAATCATGGCACGTCATCAGATGTAACCCACCAAGACACTCACCAGTCCACGCCTGGGTCACCAGCAGAAGACCCTCCTACACAAAGTCTCAATGGTCGTTCTGAATCATGGCCGTTATCAATAACATCCGAAGACAATTCACAAACCGAACCATTCCCGCCTTTCCCTACAACACCCGACACCCACGATTCGATCGTTGCATCACCAAATAGCGGCTCCCATGGCCAGGACAACGACCATGATTCGGCATGAACCACTGACACTGAACACCATTGAATTTAAATTCCTCTCAATGGCTGTGCTACTCACAATGCAAGTTAAAGGGCACACTGTCGCCCATCATGGTTTGCGGGTCAAACCTTGGGCACTGGGTTAATAATGCTTTGCCACATACGCAGTTACTGCAAGATTATCTATAGTATTAGTGGAATATGTAATATGAAATGACTTACGAGAGAGATTGTGCCTTTCATTAGGGGACCAGCTGCATGTGCAGAGCAGGTTATGAATCATGTTGTTCTGGTAAAACACACGCAACATCACAGATGATATCCGCCTTCCATAACCCCCACACCACCACCACCACCGCCCATAGCCAACCCCTCCGATGACACGAACTGGTCCGCGCGTTTCTGCATCTGCTCCGCGCCGCCGCCGCCGCCGCCGCCGCCGCCAGGAATATCCTCGAACAACCATGGCGGATTCGCCAGCGACAAGATTTCCTGATCAAAAATGGCCCAGGAGTAGTCCCCCGCCTCTGACTCGGGCGGCGGGAAGCTGGCATTCAACGCTACCTCCGGCGGGGTGTGCATCGCCTGCAGATTGGATTCGAGGCGCTCCGCCAGGACGTGGTGGATGCTTGGAATGGACGGATGGCTTGGTTTCAGCTTGGCGATGTGTTTTTCGATCAAGTAGCGGTCTGACTCACAGCACAGATTGTGGAGATGGATTAGCAAGTGTTTTGAATTCTCGAATTTGGTATTCAGGGTGAATTCGTGATTAGAAGATTGGATTCAAGAATTTCTTTTATGAAAGAAGAAAAACGTACCGTCTGGGTGGGACATACCGTCCTCGATCCCGCGAAGAAGTAGCATGGCTGCGAAGGTGATCATCTATGTATGTTATTCGTCTTGTTCGGATATTTGTTTGGTGTTTCTCACGTGTGTTTTTTGGGGGGGAGGTTGTAAGGGGACCGTACGATCAAGTCCCAATTCGACCAGATGCTCGAGTCATCCAACCGCAACCGCACCACCGCGCGAGCGGACACCAGCAACTCGTGTCTCTCGGCCGGCGCGATATCCGCTGAGGAGCCTAGATCGAAGCCCCGTGCTGGGTGGTAGATCGACAGCACGTAGAGCTTGTGCAGGTGGTATTGGAGGAGGATGAGGATGCCTTGGCGGTTGGAGGGGGTTCGCTCTGGATTTGGGTAAGCGGTGAAAAAGTTGATTGCAGCGTTTTGAGTTTTGTCCAGGGAGGTGTCTTGATGATAAGGAATAAGGAAGGGGATGGGGGTGTCCACTCACGCGATGTCCTGTTATACCTGATCAGCCAATCGTCCAACTTTCTCGCCCACAGGCGGATGACACGGGCGTCTTCGTCCGTGAAGGAGGTTCGGATTGAGGGTGAATTCTCGGATTCCCTTGCGCTGCTCACGAAGGACCAGATCGTGGGAAGGCCCCGGCCGACGAAGTGGCTGAGGCCTTGGTGCATCATCTGCGTGAGGCCGCGGAAGGCATGCTCTTCATCCTCGTTGTCGTTGCTGTGGGCGGAAGTGAGGGCTGCGGTTGGAGGGTGTACCGGCAGCAAAGGGCAGCACATGTGCATGGACGCGTGCTCGATGTCGATGACCTGGAGGCCGGAGAAGAGGCCGCTCCAGTCCTGACTCGTGCCGGTTTCTGCGGTGGTGGGAAGGGTGTGATCGAGGAAGAGGCGGTAAGCCAGGGCGATCCAGTGTCCGGTGACGGGCACGTAGGCTTCGGAGCTGAGGCTGGCCATGATGAGACCGAGAATGTTTTGGTAGGCTATGGGCTCAGTTGGGGATTGGGTGGTTTGGGGGCTGTTGTGGGGGAGTATATTAGATGGGAGGACGAGCTCGGCGATGGCGCAGCTTTGAGCGACGAAATAGCCCTTTGCAAACTCGCCGAGGTCTTTCGAAGGTCCATGCAAGGCAGATATGTAGAGGATGGACGCTAGGAGAAGGGGAGATGGCGCAGCGAATGCGCTTTGGTCTTTGAGGAAGTGGAGGAGTGGCAGGTTCTCGACGAAGCTGAGTGGGTGTCAATCGGCTCAGCCCTGACACAGAGAGGCGTTGATGGCGAACTGCTCACGTACGAGTTCCAGAGGTGTCTGACGATAGGACGGGTCCAGATCGCATCCTCCTGAGGTGGCCGCGTGATGCTCTTCAGATGTTTGACAGCGTTCCATAGGCGAGGATACCCGGTTCTCTCGTCATCATCTAAGCCTTCACTGATAAGCGGCAACGAGTCTTCTCTTTGGTATATACCTAATCTTCTTTCGATGCGATCTAATCGGCTGAGGATCGACGGCATCTCGGGGCTGGGATCCATTGATGTCTGGAGTATGGGCCCCAAGTCTCGAGCTGTAGTTGCAGCCTAAGCATTGTAAGCAGAGATTGATATCTACGGGCAGATTCAAAGTCAAACAGCCTCACATTTGATCTAGGTCTGAAGATGCAGGCAGCATTGGTGTGACGACATCGACGGCATGGCGGCTTGCCGTCAGCCACGCATTTCATCTCGTAGGCAGTCAGCAGCGTTGATGTATGTTTTATTTAAGGATGCATAAACCACTAACTGACCTTCAATCTGCGGCAGTTGACTATTAGAGTGCATTAGTTCACCACTTTGGCTCGAACTTGAAAGGCTTAGGCATATGCAACTTGCCGCATGCTTTAGTCGGTTTAGGCCCATGGGCAGTAGCGCCAGTCTTTTTCATCGTCGCATTACTTGTTGCTGTGCATGCGCTTTCAGCTCTTGGGCACGAGAGTGAGAAATTGTAGTCTTATATTGCAGGTAATCCTTCGACAAGATGAAAGTGAACAAGCAAGTGTTGCGCGACACTAAGAAACTAAGAACAAGTAGTCCGTCACCACGTGAGCCGGGGCTAATCGATATGACTCGACATTTTCATTCATGCTGATAAGTAGATACCTCCCGTCTATATACGAGGGTCCAATTGTAATACGCCCGGACCTTCGCCAATGATCGAATTGTGGACAATCCACACATACAAAGTGGTCCTGGCTAAGCTACGCCTGTTCTCACGTTTCTAGTCCGCCTTGCGTAGGCTTCAAGGAAGTCAAGGAGGGTCTGAAAAACGGAAATGAGAAGTGTACCATGAGGCCTAGAGAGACTCGTCAGCCTCAGGTTCACATTCTTGTTGATCTTGCGCGTGCTCCTATAGGAGGACCAACCATCTGCCAACATGGTATTTCGAGTGGAGATGGGGTAGGTTGTTCTTGAAATGCGCGTTTGTGAAGTAGTTGGGGAAAGTGGCAACGAAACCAAGACAGCCGAGAGAAGAGTGAGAAGGGTATTATGCCGACAGAATTCTATATACATGATCTTTTAAAGAGGGCGGACATCATAAAAATACATTGGAAGATATGGTACACATGGCGAACAATGAAACGCCATGATGGAAGTCATCAGGTCAGAGGTGTTGGGGTGTCATGTTTGGCGCAGTCTCAAGGACTCGATATCTGCAGATTTAAGCAGATGCAGCGGCATCTTCGGCATGTTCGAGTCCCTCCTCTGCTACAGTCATGGAAAGCTTTCGCATATCCCAACCATCGGACTCTATCCAATCTCTCTTCTCGCCTAGCAGGCAGACAGATCGCTGGGAGCCATCAACCAGGAAGGCTTGTGCTGCCTCGTTTACATCCTTTGCGGTAACATCAAGGACCTGTTCTCTCCAGCGCTGGTCCATTTCGTGGGTCACACCACTCATGAAGTACCTTGCACCTTCCTCGTCGACGCTCATTGGGGCGTCAAGGCCTTGGAAGATACCCAGCTTAGCCTCGTTGAGCTCCCGCTCCGACCAAGCCCGGTCTCGGGCGAAAATTCCACTGTTTTGGAACACCTTCAGGGTGTTGGTGGGATTGGGATCCCGGTAGCTGGTGAAGGCAAACATTCCCTTGACTGGGCCGTTGCTGGCTCCTGCACCGTAGGCACCACCCTTTTCACGAATCTCCGGATGGAGGTAATTATGCGTCAGGAGTTGAGAAAGAACACTAAGCTTGGCGCTAGCGGAGTGCACAAATGGAACAGTGTGCATGGCTAGACCTGAATAGTACACCTTGTATGGCATGTCGAAGAACGTTTTAATCATCTTGGAATCCCTCACTGGGGAGTCAAAGGCCGCTGTGGGCGAGCGAACCTGGGGCAAACCCGCGAACCACTTCTGCAACACGGATTCATTCTGGCCGGCGCTCTCAGGCTCGCAAACCATGCGGACACGAAGACCGGACGACCTAGAGATGGCGAAAGCTTGGATTGTGCGGAGCTTCTCGATCAACTCTGCCAAGCGCTCGGGCGACGTTTCCGCGTCCCGCAGGAGGTTGGCTGTTGCCTGCAGTTGTGCGAGACCGGATTGCTGCTCTTGTACCCAGAAACTGCGCGAGAGGTTTGCCGCAGCCGCATTGAGAGCGAAACGGTGACCCGTTCCTGCAACGGCATCCAGGGCACCATTGGTTGTCATGCGGAGCAACTCTTGAATCATCGCGGGTGCACTGGGACTTGTGAAGTCGGTTTCGGTCACAAGGGTGGTCAGTATCTGTAACATGTCGGGGATATTCTTGTCCAGAGCAGATCCGGAGAATTGAAGACCTTCATTAAATTCTCCAAGCGCCGTTGGGGAAGCTGTGTGGAACGTGGATGTGGAGATACCCCCGGTCTTCAGTTTGATCAAATCCTCCCATTGCTCCATGGATCGATTCGCTGTACCAAGTCGCATGATACAGTCGTTGAAAAGTGGCATCAGCAACCGAAGGTCATCAGGGAGGCCATCGAATGTGTTCAAAGCCTGGAAATAGGTCAAGCCGTTGGTAGGGGCTTCACGCCAAAGAACATCCACGCCGTCAACCTTGGATTCCCGAACGGGCTTGCGCTCCTTCTCGCGCGAGATGTCGGACACCCGAAGGGAAGGCAAGCAGCTCAGGTCAGCATTCTGTGCCTTTTCTTGAACCTCTAGCAGCTGAAGTTCCTCCGCCTTTAGCTGGGCAATAGCCTTTTCCATGGACCCATGCTGTTCAGCGAGTTGACTGAGCTTTGTCTCCTTCCGCACCAATTCTTGGTCGTCAAGCTCCTTGTTAAACGTAGGTGTGCCAACCATCGTAAATGTCAGACAATTATCATTCATAAGATACTTCTGCATCAATGACTCCAGATAGCCGCCCTGCGCATACCTCCTCTTGAACTCATCAATCACTTCATTCCAAGCTAGCTCTTTCATGGGATTGGATCCATTGAACCAAGAGGAAATTGTTTTCTCCATGACACCAATGCCGAAGTTTGACGTTTTGTGCCTGAGGGAAAGTTCAAGCTGGTGAAGGATACCTTGGACCTTCTCATCACTGAATCCGGTAGCAAACGATTCCTCAAAGACAGTCTGGATAGCGGTCTTGACCTGAGAAGCCGATTCTTCACTGACACCAGTCACACCGACAGAGAAAACCGGCACGCGGCCGGACGTATCGAGTCCTGTGTTGGGACTAAAGGAAGAGCCAAGGCCACTTTCAATCAAAGCCCGATACATAGGTGAGCCATAACCATCCAGGAGCAGAGAAGATACAATTCCGGCCGAGAAAGCCTCCACAACATCAGTAGAATCTCCCATGTACCACGATGTTGATGTCTTGTGCTGCTTGTCTTCACCAGCGAATGTGTCGATGGGGCCTGGAACAGTCACACTCTTAGGACCCTTGCTAAGGTCAATAGGTTGTTTGATAGACGTATCCGCTTCACCCTTTTGGAATCCATCCAAAACCTTGCCGATTTGCTCGAGATGGTCAGTCAAAGGCATATCGCCATATGTGAAGATTTTAGCGTTGCTGGGGTGATAGTTGCGCTTGGAGAAGTCGACTAGTTGCTTGTGCGTCAAATCGGTAATGTACTGGGGATCACCACCCGAGTTTTTCAGTGCCGGGATGATGCTCTCTTTATATTTGATATAATAGAGGTAGTTTGCGTCCGAAATCTGTCCTTTCATCTCGTTGTATACGACGCCCTTGAAGAGGATGTCCTCGGGGTTGTGAGCCGTCTGACCCTCGATAGCACGGGGGTCCTCTGGCCCCAACCGCCAACCCTCCTGTCTGAAATCCTCCTCCTTAAGCAGAGGGTGGAAGGTGGCGTCCAGGTACACCGAGAGCAGGTTCCGGAAGTCCTGCTGATTCGTGGTAGCGAAAGGATATGTGGTGTGGTCGGCGGAAGTGAATGCATTCATGAAGTTCGACAGCGAGCGGGGAAGCATCTTGAAGAAAGGGTCGCGGATAGGATATCTAAAGTGTGGTGATATGTGAGCTATCGTTCTAGTGCGACGTGGAAAGTATGCTCACAGCCGTCGAAATGTACTTACTTCTGGCTACCGCAGAGCGTGGTATGCTCTAGGATATGGGGAACGCCGGTAGCATCCGGGGGATTGGTCTTGAAGCCAATTCCAAACACATTGTTCTTGTCTTCCCTGGCCACGTGGAGGTAGTCCGCGTCGGTCTTGTCATGCGTTAAACGGACGGCCGTCAGGTGTAACTCCGGTACATGTTTCTTTTCTTGAACAGTGAAGCCGTGAATCTTGTCCCCGATTCCGGGAAAGTTGTCTAGGTTTGTGACGGTTGAAGCAGATCTTCTGATATGGACCCAGCGAAGCGAAGTGTTGCCAGAACCCAGCAGCCGTCCATTGGTCGACTTCGGTAAAGCAGGCAAGAGGCCTCTGCTCGCCCCGAGAGTTGAGCGCAACATGGTGACTCGTTTCGAGATTCTGAATACGCGCGCAGCGGTTCTTTCACAGAGTACGGCACAACTGACGTACTTTAGCGAGTCCGCGGCAGCTTCTTTGCGCACCGAAGGTTGTCGGTGGCCGTGGACCGGACAGACCAGGCACCTCGGAGATGAGTGCGAAGATCTGGGACGCGCAACTAAGAACCGATTATACTCCGCTAGACCAAGGGTTGCAGACTAAGAGATTGGAACAAATGAATGCCCAGAGAAGTAGAGAAGGGGATAAGTATACAGAATGAGAAAGACAGGAAAGAAATGGAAAAGTGGTTTGAGTGTTGGAAAGTAGCTCCGTCGGCGCGATTCAATTGCTTAGAAAGACAGGCGGGCAGAAAGCGACGGACGGTGCCAAGAGAAGTTTTCGAAAGAGGCTAGTGCAGGTCAAGTGCGCATCCCCCCCTCTTACGACTATTCCATCCAATCTTCCCCGGCAAGTTCCTCGAAGAGTGACCCGTTCGTCTGTCGACTCTTCTCGCAGTCGACACTCTCGCCCAATACCTTTCGTTTCGTTCCGCCTTAAAAGCAAAGGCACGCCTTCGCTGTCGGATCCCGACGCCTCCCGCAAGTGAGCTTCCGGTTGGCTTTGCAGGACTTGCATTCTAGTCAACCTTCGTGGGTTCCCGTTACCTCCGACTTCTGCAATTATAGGAAGAGGCCACCGAGGTTCTCCACTAGACTCGCCGGGTGGATACGAGTTGCCTGCAATCATAACACCTCCTACCGACTATTGTTCGCTTTGTCGCCGCGAAGAGTTTCCCTTCTTGTCTTGCCCTCGCGGCTATCGGAGGAAGTGACGCATTCGTCCCTGCCATCTTCCGTCAAATCGTTCCAACCTGGCAATTTTCACCGCTGAGAATTGGCCACGCGACCACCCTCAACAGCATCACAACCGCATACCTTTATAAATATTCTTACGACAAACAGCGAACCATGTCGTCCGCGGCCATGTCCAAGAAAAAGCAGGGGAAGAAGGTTGCAGATCCGAATGAGACCTCGAAGCTGCTGGCCGCCAAAATCTCGCAGCTGGAGCAAGATGCTGCCGGAGAGAAGGACCAAGAGGCCGAGATTGGTGCGTGCATCCACTGAATTCTACGCCTGGTGTATCGATCACGCCATTGAATCTGGCTGTTAAAACGTGAACGAATCTGGTTGCTGATACTCCCACAGAGCGCGAGGTCAAGAAAGCCACGAGAGATCTCAATCAACTCCTCAACAATATCGAATCCCCGATGACGCGGCTCGAGACTGTGCACAAGAAATATACCGAACTTCTGGCCGACATGAAGAAGCTGGATCGCGATTATGCCAAGAGCAAGAAGCGGGCAGATCAGCTCCAGAAGGACCAAGACAAGGGCAAATCGGAACTGAATAAGACCGTCACTATGAAGGACAAACTCGAGAAGCTGTGCAGGGAGCTCACAAAAGAAAATAAAAAAGTGAAGGTGGGTAGCTACAACTCGCCAGCAGCGCATTCCCGAATCGAACAATGCAGAACCAGGGCTAAGGGAAACCGTGCACGCAATAGGACGAAAACAAGAAGCTCGAAGAAACTGAGAAGAAAGCACGGCTGATCGTCAACGAACGCCTCGACTCGCTTTTGTACGATATTCAAGACGTCATGGCTGCCAAAGGAAATCCCCGCAACGAGAAAGTGGATATCGATTTGGACGAAGCGTGAGTTTTTCTTCCCCAGTCTGCCTATTGAGCTGGTATGTTAAAGCTCTCTTCATACCACAGTCTGCGTGCGAAGATCAAAACGATCGGCGAGAAGTTCGAAATGCGTGAACTACACTACAAGGCATTGCTCCGTAGTAAGGACGCGGAGATACAATGTCTTACCGCCAAGTACGAAGAACAACGGCGAGCAGCGGAGAACGAAGCTGCCCGCTGCCGGGCATTGAGTTCTCAGGTGTCAACTTTCTCGCATACCGAGGCGGAGTTGCGCAGCCAGCTCAACATCTATGTCGAAAAGTTCAAACAGGTATGGCTTGATGCTTGATGGCTGTTCCAGCCAAGTCTCTATTTTGACCGCTGGTAGTAATAATATGGCAGGTGGAGGATACGCTGAACAACAGCAACGAGCTCTTCCTTACGTTTCGCAAAGAGATGGAAGAAATGTCCAAGAAAACTAAACGCCTAGAAAAGGAAAACCTCACTCTCACTCGCAAGCACGACCAGACGAATCGCAATATACTGGAGATGGCCGAGGAGCGCACAAGAAACCATGAGGAGCTGGAAAAATGGCGGAAGAAAAGCCACCATCTCGAAGCGCTCTGCCGACGAATGCAAGCCCAGGGGCGGGGGCAAGGTCTTGCGGCGGATTTGGAAGGCGATGACGAGGGTACGGAGAGCGAGTACGACGAGGATTACGAAGACGAAGAAGACGATGAGGGAATTAGCGATGACGATTACGAACTGGAAAGCCGGGACGGCGACCTGAACGGAGACCGCAACGTTGCTCAGCAGCCCGAGAAGCCTGTGTTCGGACCCCCTCCGCCACCTAATCTGCTGGAAGCGCGAGCCAACGGAAATAAGGCGATGATCAACGGATGTCACTAATACCTTTTTTTCCGCGCAGAAGTTGTTTTCGAATATGGTCTTTTGGGCTTGTTCTTGATATCAAATGGCAAAGGGATTTCCTGGCGGCACTAACGCCACTGCCGTCAGTCTGAGGGTGGGTCATGGGCCTGATGAGCTGAAATGATACATTCCCTGAGAGCTATGAGTTGACCCGAACAATGTCAATGCTGGCCTCTTCATGTAGGGTGCCATCGCTGCTCGATGCAACACTTGTAGTCGCACCAGGTATTGCAAAGAGAATCGGTGCTAAGGCTCCTCATCCAAAAACCCATCAAGGCCATCGAATTGCAGTAAGCACTGTCAGAGCCATAGGCCCTTTGCGAGTTGCGATCCTTTGACGTTTTGTTCATTTTTATTTCTGTTCGTGTACTTGTACATGCTAGATCACCAGCATCCGGACGTACTTATTACGTTACCATGAGAAAATACCACACAAAGTTATGTCATGCCAACTACCACGGAGAATTCTACCCGAAGCCTCATAGTCTACTGGCCGGGCCTTGTATGTAGGAGCTCCCCTTCTTCAGCATCTCGACAGCTTGCTGGACCATCTCCTTTACAATCTCAGCCGCCGGCTTGATACTGGCCACATTCGCTGAAACATCACCCATCAGGAACGGTAAGTCGACATCCTTATCGTTCTTGAGGTCATACTCCATGGGGACAATGCCCTGGGCCGTCAAGCGAGCAATCTCCTCCGGCCGCCTCTCCCAGTCCTTGACGTATTCATTCGGCAAAACCCGCAGCGGCCGCCCCGACACGACGAGGGTCCGCATGGTATCCCCATAGGTGGCGCCCACGACGGCCTCCTTATGCAGCCGACTGGCCCCGCTCTCTTCGGACGCCACGAAGCGCGTCCCGACCCAAACGCCCGCGGCCCCCAGCATCAACGCCGCCGCCAGACTGCGGCCATCGTTCACGCCACCCGCCGCGACCACGAGGGGCGGCTGGCCCGTCAGCCGACTCCGGTACCGCTGCGCGACATCCACAACAGCCGGGATGAGCACCGAGAAGGGGATGTCGCCCGTATGCCCGCCGCCCTCGCCGCCCTGGGCGCACACGATATCCACGCCCCGCGCCAGCGCCTTTTCGGCGTGCTTGGGCGCCCCAACCATGTTCATCACCAGGATGCCGGCGTCGTGCAGTCGCGTGATGACGTGCGCCGGCGGCACGCCCACCGCCGACACGAACAGCTTCGCCCCCTGCGCGATCACCACCTCGATCAGCTGGTCCAGCTGCCCGTGCGTGTAGTCGTGGTTCGTGGCGCGCGCCCCGCCGCCCACCTGCGGCAGCGCCAGGTCCACCCCGAACGGCAGCGACGGGTCCCGCAGCTGGGACTTTAACTCGGTCAGGATCTCCGAGAGCTGCGATGGCGTGTAGCCCAGCCCCCCGACGGTGCCTAGTCCCCCTGCGTTGGAGACGGCGGCCGCCAGCGGCGCGCTGGAGGCCCGCGCCATCCCTGCGAGAAGGATGGGGTGTTGGATGTTGAGGAGGGCGCACAGCGGGGTTTGGAGGGACATGATTGTTGTTGGGTCTCTGGGTGATTGGAATTTGGCTGTGGTGTTGGGTTTTATTGGGTTGTGGTGGTGGTGGTGGTGGTGGTGGTGGTGGTGAGTTTGGAGGTATAGGAGTAGCACTCGCTGCTTGCTGGCCGTGTAACGCGAGATCTAGGAGATTCTCAATGAGTAGGAGTATGACGAGGTGACTCTAGACGAGAATTGAGATGGATTGTAGATGCATTGATGCATGGTTCATGGCCCATGGCGACTTTTCAAAGCCCCGGGTTTTATCTGTGAGGTGGGAGTTCCCCCGAACCATCTGATCGACGCTGTGCCTGGACAAATGCGGGGAAGCTCCCGACCGGACCGAGGCACCATCCATCACAGGTCCGCTGCTCGGCATATTTGGTGTTCTTATGCTCTTATGCTCTTATGCGACATGTACGGAGAACTATGTCGCATGTTGCCTTTCTGTTTGACCACACCTTGGACCACTACCGGCTGTATTGGACTAGGTAGCTGCATCATGAAACTAATCCCAGTCTAGAACTGAGATGTCTGACAAGTTATACAATCAAATTAATCCATACTTATTGACAGTGAAATGCGAAGTCTGAGAGACACCGGTCAAAAGATAACAGCTTGCGCGCAGCGCATAACGCTCTTGGAACCATTTTCAAGAGATGAAAAGACACAAAACAACCGAGAGTACGACAAGACTTGATTCCAACGTCGTACTCCTTCCCGCCATCGCCGTCTGTGTTGCTTGAAGCACGGCCTGATTCTTCGTCGCTGTGCCGACCAAGACTATCACATTCTTCTCCGAGCTACTCAGATACGACAGGTCAGTGATGCGCTTTTCCATAGGATTCGGGATGGCCTGAATATGCAGCACTTACCCTGCATCCCCAATGCCTCCATTCTCGCTCAACTTCTGGGAAAACGCTGTCGCACCGGCGGGGATGGTGGTTGTCGTGGTCGGTCGATGAACAGGTCCTGGAGGAGGCCGATACCCTACCGCACCTAATGGTGCTGTTGCAAGCGAGGCTGGCAGGCTTCTGCGCAGTAGGTTTGATGGTAGACTGTGTAGGAAAGTCCCAGGATAAGCTGAGGTGAAAACGCTAGCGAAGAGGCTGATAGCCATGAAGCTGCGCAATAGGTAGGTGATTAGAAGTGAGACCCTCATCTTCGGCAGAGGTGGTGATAGCAGATTTGGCTTGGTTTAACGCGATGTAAAGGATAAGGAGCAGAAGGTCATTCTACCATCGGTGAACAATGATCAATAGCCCGCGACGCGAAGGAGGGGCATCAAACGCCTATATGTAGGCGACTGAATTCCAGCTTGGGAAGATCAAGCATGCGAGGTATGTTATGTCTGAGATGGCATGGCAAGAGCTCGGTACTTCAATACTTGGTTGACTATGGGCCGGTCATGTCGAGCTCCTTCCTGGATACCACAGAAAGGTGGCCTGAAGTGGGAACATGGTTCTCAAGACCCCCTAGCCAGAACTACCGTGGGCGACAATGTCAGGGCGAGAGAGAGAGAGATCGCATCATCAAGTCGGCCTACAGGCGTTAACGAAGCTCTGGTGAAGGGTGCGAACATGCCAGGTGAAGCCGGGAATGCTCTCAAGGCACTCCCTATCTTCAGGCCAATGCGTGATCCCTGTGGCATTCTGACATAAGTTTAGGTATGAGCATAAAATGGCTTTTTCCATGATTGCTCTGTTAATGTCAGCGGCGTTAAGCATTACTACCTTGGTTGCTTCATCATTTGTGACATGCACCGAAGTATTCCAGTGGCTAGGCATATGAAGGGTTATTTTAAGAGGAGGTTCGTGGAGGAGGATTTGAGACTAGGCAAAAAATACTTTCATGGGTACTAATACAACCTGAGAGCAATTCTCACTGGAAACAGTAGCAATGCAACATTTGATAACTATTATCACATAGCATGTACGTAGGTACCTAGTTTCTGGACCAACCCCAAAGCGGGACTGTAATTACCGAACGCCAAAAGACGCGTGGTTCGCGTTGGCTGAAGGACAGACCCGAAGATAATCAATACACCGACCGCAGCTGCCTCCGTCCGCTGCGTCGAACAACCCCCCCAACTCGCCTTTGCAGCTGGTCTCTCTGCGGCTTCTATGCGACACACATACAGCCTTCGAAATGACGCCCAACATTTCAGAGAACCAGTTTCTTCGCGCTCCAAGGTTCGCTTGTCCGCATATTACATTAGCGATCGACGACATCACTGACATTCTGTCCGTCCAGCGATCAGGAGTTCGAGCCCGTTTATCGTGAACCCTCCTATTACAACCCTCTAGATACGTTCCGACTACCCAGTGGACAAGACCGACACTACCAGCAACAATATGGCGACATGTATTTCTTGCGACTGGCCAAGTTGAAGCCCGCCGTCGAAGAAATTGCCGTGGAGGCGTGGGAAGGATTTAGCGTCAGTACAACAATCCCTTGCTCATGGTTGAGCAAAGCTCTGATACGGGATTTGTCCAACCGACCCAGCCTGAGGGTAAGCTGCTAATTGCGCTTTCGCCTACAGATCGCGGGAGAAAATGCACGTCGTGTGGAAAGAGTGCTAGATGTACGACAGGGAGAGCTCTGCTGGGTTGCAGGAACCATTTACATGGATATGCCACTGAAGCCCAATATTTTGGACGATTTGACCAAGGAGGTAAGGAACACTCGATCAGCACATACGCGCACGTGTCCTTCAACTGACTTCGCATCGAAAGAACTACACTCTCGCCCCTCCTCCTCGCCCGACCTATCAAGACCCTGCCCACCCCGAATTGACACAAATCATGTTGGAAGATGAATCCGGACGACTACGCCTGACGGGCAATTCGCTCAGCTCTACACAGCTTGCGACCGGCGCTATCATTGCGGTCCTGGGAACGGAGAATGCCAATGGTGACTTCGAGGTCATTGACATCAAGGTGCCTGATTTGCCTCGACAGCCTCCTCGCTGGGAGAGGGATGAGGTGGATTCGACACAGAAAGAGTCTAGCAAGGGCAAAATTGCATTCGTTAGCGGCCTCAGCATCACAGGCACATCGAGTGATACCCTCGCATTAGAACTCTTGACGGACTATCTCCTGGGCTATGCAGGGAACTTCTCGACGGAGCAGGATGATAACTCGCCACCGAAACCCTCTGCGATCACGAGACTGGTCATTGCTGGAAACTCGATCGGTACTAATATGACTACCGATGCTAGTGCCGAAGATGAAGCCGCTGCGAAGAAGAAAGCGGGCACCAAGAAGTACGGATACGACGCTTCCGCATACAACGCATCGCCAATCACGCAGCTAGACTCCTTCCTGGCAGAGATTTTACCCAGCATACCTGTTACTCTGATGCCCGGTGATACCGATCCCGCCAATTTCTCTCTCCCACAGCAAGGCATCCACCGTGCCATGTTCCCACGAGCCAGAGCATACTGCGCTCCACCCCCGGCCGGAGACGAGAAGCAGGAACCCGGCTGGTTTGACAGTGTGACGAATCCATGGGAAGGCGATGTTGAAGGGTGGCGTCTGTGGGGCAGCAGCGGTCAAAATGTGGATGACGTCCTTCGCTATCTGAATTTCTCAGATCGTGAAGGAAAGGTCGCCTCTACAGATGGTGATGTTGAGGCCCGGGTGCGGATAATGGAGGCCATGTTGCGTTGGAGGTGTGGAGTCCCAACCGCGCCTGACACCATATGTAAGCTCGATTTACCGTGTTACGTGTCGGACGATCGAGCTAACCTGATTGCAACAGGGTCGTATCCTTTCCAAACAGATGATCCTTTTGTTATCGAAACCTGTCCCCATATCTTCTTTGCCGGCAACCAACCGCGCTTCAAGACCGCGGTCATTGAGGGCGATATGCCCCTGAAACTAAACGGCGCAGACACAAAAATGACAGGCACCGAGGACGATATTTCCGGGCCGCGGGTTCGTCTTCTATCGATCCCCAAATTCAGAGAGACTGGCGAGCTAGTCTTGGTTGATATCGATACACTAGAAGTTGAAGTGGTCAAGTTTGGAGCGTTCGCCGGCCAACAAGAAAAACAATGATATGCTCCGACTTCCGGCGCAAACAAAAAGAAAAACAACTATAGATATCATGAATACCCTAATGTACTCTTTATACCACCAATTTTGGATCCTGGCGCATACGCTCCGACGATTGTATAGTTTCCTTGAGAGAGCCGGCCCGGTGCCAAGACCTGCGCGGAAAAGCTACGGTTCGTCGCCCAAATTGTGGATTTTTGACTGCATACAACCCAACCATCAACCAAATCTACACGGAGGGTCTCCGCAGCTTCAACCTGCAACAGATACCTAGGATAAATCAATAGATTGGACGACAATTGGCAAAGATGTTACTCAACGAAAAGACAGGTAAGCAGCCGGGAAACCTTCCGCCGATATGTTAGTCCCAGCCAAGGCTCCTAAAACCCGGATCTATATAGCCATTTCAACCTCCAAGGTGTTGCTTGTACCGTACTCCAAGTGGCATGTCCCCAAATATCATGAATGGATGAAGGATGAGGTAAGATAGATCTGTGTCTTATACCTCCTTGAACCTCCTCGCGTACTTTTTCTGGCTCTTCATCAATGCAAACCCCAAATTAGGGCAAGCATATCAACTAATCCAGGATAATTAGGAAATTCAAGAAGCCACGGCTTCTGAGCCCCTCTCCCTAGAGGAGGAGTACGCCATGCAACAAAGCTGGCGCCAGGACCCGGACAAACTGACATTCATCGTCTGCCAACCTACAACAACACCAACGAGCTCCTCCTCTGACTCCGCTGGAGAAGGTGAGGTCATAAAACTCGACGACCACACCGCCGACGAACCCCGCCACATGGTGGGGGACATCAACCTCTTCCTCCGCGTCGACGACGGTGAAGAAGGGGAATCGGACCCGCAACTCGTCGGGGAGATCGAGCTCATGATCGCCGAGAAGCGCAACCAGCGGCGCGGGTTCGGCAAGGCCGCGCTCTACACCTTCCTCCGGTACATCGTGGACCACGAGGCCGAGATCCTGGAGGAGTTTGTGGCGGGCGATGCCGCCGCGTTGCAGGCCATGACGGTTTCTGGGCTGCAGCAACCACCGCGGCCGTGGAGGTTCGCCTGCCTGAGTGTGAAGATCGGGCAGGCGAATGAGCGGAGTTTGGCGCTGTTTGAGGGCGCGGGGTTCCGGAAGGTCTCGCCGGAGCCGAACTATTTTGGGGAATTTGAGTTGCGGCGGTTGCGGGAGAGCTTGGAAAGGGCCGTGGTGGATGAGGGTCTTGATGGGGTTGGGGTTACGGGGTATACTGAGTTGGAGTATACGAGGGTTCAGTAAGGGTTACTACTACAGGTCATCTATCGGGCTTGGGCTGCTACTTCCCTGCGGGTTTGCAGTCATACCCCAGATTCCGCGACGTTACATCTACAATCTGCACCGCTTCCTGCAGTGAGCCGGCGTTGCCATGCCAGAGCAAACGACTAGTGAATGACGAGTGTATGCTGTGTCAATCCGCTCCATCGACAAAAGCAATAGCAATGACAATTGCCAACGATCACGGGATATTCTTTTTGTTTTGTCTTTGATCAAACGCCGTAAGAATCCAAAAAGAGCTCCGACGAAAACCGAATGCGGGCAGACGAAACCCAGTCATGTTTAAGAGTTCTACGTCCGGGAGAAACTCGATATGCCAGTGATGCATCATTGGCATAGCAGTTGCCGGCCAGGCGGGGGACGACTCAGCTCCTCCCGTGTATCTCACCCCAAACAGAAGCAATTCCATGCAACCTGTGGAGATGACACACCAGCACCCCCATTCAAAAGCCAATCATTCTTTCAATTGTCAATCGACACAAGAATTCAATTCCTGTTGCTTCTTCGAAAAAGAGGTGATATGAAAATTTCCATGCGCCGTTTGTTCGTCCGTTTTCACTTCCGAGCTCCACTTTCTTCATCTTAAACGCTTGACGTTTGACATGTCGAGGATCGTTTCGGACGAGAGGCAAGCGGTGTGCGATATAGGAAGGTTAGGCTAGGTTTTCAAAATTTACAAAGCCTTCTTCTTGTCACCGTTGGTGACATCGACAACCTTGAGAGCTGTTTGTAGGGAGGAGGAAAAAGGCCATTGACGTCAGCGGATGATGGTCCCGAGGTAGGTGGTCTCCCCAGGTTTCACTGAGAGATTGGCGGGGAAGGGAAACGTATGATTATATCAAGGGTTCAAGACGCACCAGGGGGAAGGCTCTGCTTGAGCTTGTCGGCCTTGTCGGAGTCCTTCAGGACAAGGGTGTAGACGTAGCGGGAGCAGCGGACCTTGAACTTGATCTGCTGGGTGTTGCGGTTGCGCTTGATGCGGGCAGCTGTAAATCATGAGACGATGGAAGAGAGTTGTATTAGCTTCAATTGCAGTGACTCTTGAGCATGTATTGAAATGAGGGGCTGGGTTGGGCCATGATGTTGATTTCTGGTCCCCAAAGTGACTCGACTCTCCGCGGATGATCCCCCGCCTTAGGTTGGAACCCCAAGCTTCCATATCCGAGACCCGGTCCAGGTGTGCCACTCATTTTCGGGTGATTGGGGAGGGGGAGGGAAGGTCAAACGTACAGGACGCATCCTTGCGGCGGCAGATCTCAATGAACTGCTTGATGTCGGAGACTTCACGAGGCATGATGGGCAGAGGGGGTGGGTATGTGATTGGTAAGTTCGGGAGTGGTCGTCGTTTGAAGCTGAGCTGGACTGGCGGGCACAGTTAGTTCTCTCTCTCTCTACTTAGATCTCTTTCGCGCTAAGCTCGACAGGGTGGGCGGTGGGTGTGCCTCCTCGTCGTTCTGCCCCCTTCGGCCCGTGGGATTGACCGGGCCTCTGTGTGGGATGTAGGGTTGCCGCCCCGGGAAGCCCTGAGGGTTGTCCTTGTCCGTGCCACATCGTGGCGGAGCTTAGCTTCATAGCTTGACGCGAGCTGACGTTGTTCCTGTGGCGGTGCTGGCTAGACTCCTCCCCGACAGGCGGCCGCTTTACTTCGACCCCCGTTGGTCTATAGTCTACCACCCACATCGAAGCCTGAGGAAGGAAAAACTATATCGTTGGTCTACATGTAGCATATCTGGCCAGTTCCGTCAAGCCAGATAAATATCCTAGCCAACCACTGCACATCGTGACTTCTGTATCCAAATCAACCTTACGTCAAGAATACATCACAAGATGCCAACGCCGTTGGATCGTGCTTTGAACTCCAAGGTACACACACCCTCAGATGTGAAGTCTATCGTAATTAGCTAACGTACAGATCTCTCTAGAATCTCTTTCTGGGTATGGTCTTGAGTGAAGCATGCAGGTATTTCTTGGAATCAACATTCTAACTTTCTTTCAGGGTTCACTGGGATGGTGACAGCTGCGGCCGTCTGGGCTATCTGGGGTAGCGACATGTTCCCTGCGGAGCCAGACCCGACAGGAGGTACGGGTTGGAGTCCTCCAGCCATATTATTCATGCGTTGACTTCTTTTAGACCCCGAAACCTGGTCTCATGATGAAATGCGAAGATGGCTTCGGGCGGTAAGTCTGACCCCGTGGAAGTTCCTTCGAACCTTGCGCAGATGAGTGGGCAGCTCCCTAACAACCAGATAGAGAGGACTTCTGCCTCATGAGAGCGCAACGCGTGAAGAGCTGCTTGAGCGCATAAAAGCCAATTTGCGCGTGCCGCGCAGAAGCCAAGCTTGAATTCCGTGTCGGGCATGGTGTATGGGCAAGCTCCGGAATAGTGTTTTCTTTTATCGGCATGTCATAGCGTTTGTAGGTTGAATGTTTTTCTTTTCCTGCGGTGTATCTCAAATTGAAACATATGTCGTTGACTGTCTTTCGTTGATTCGTAGCGCATTATGTGAATTGTTATTGGGTGATGCGTTCGCCTCGCGCGATCATGTCTCCATTAATTTCCTCTTCTAAACCACCAGCCGGAAGTTCTGAGTCTGAATGAGCCATTCACGCCTGCGCTTTCCCTTCGGTCCATCGGCAGTGGGGTTCGGGACCAGGACGAAGGTCTCGCTGAATCCGCGCTGTGGTAGATCTCTGGATTCGCCGAAGCGGACAAAGCCGCTGACGATCACGAGGATGGACATGTCCTTGACGGTGGTCTCTGTGGGGAGCTTGAAGCCCGTAGCGGTAGGTGTGGGATAGGTGCGGTTGATGATCTGGCAGTCGAATGACTGCACTTCGTAGTGAGTGGGAGTCATCTGATTGACGAAAATCTCCTGGACGGCGGCGCCATCGGCGACAACGTTTCCGTTGAAAAGGATAGTAGACGCCTGTTGGCTGTAGAATGAGGAAATGGTGGCGCGGTTGGACTGGAGTGCAGGATAAAAAGAATTCACAAATTCAGTTGCCGCTATAGGTGTGAGAAAGTTCCATCAGTAAGAGGTCACTAGATTTAGACGGGCAAACCCACGTACCCTCCGTGGAATGCTTGACCAACGTGTCTTCTGAGGCAGGGGCCATTGTGAGCTGTAGCTGCTGTATCTTCCTATAATGATGAAGGGAGAAGATAGCGCGTGAGAGAGGGTGAGAGAGCGCACGCGAGAGGAAGAGCGAGATGGTTGCGGAGGAAGGAAAGGCAAGGCCGAGCGGCAGAAAAAAGGCACGGAAGCTTGGACCACCTTCCCGGAGACGAGCTTCGGAGAAGTCGAAAGTCCGCAATCATTTCCACCTTCCTTTTCTCTCCAGATATCCCCAACAATGGCAGTGCTGAGGGCTGGTACTTGTGCTCTGCCATGGGCAGGCCGGTTCCTGGCTTCCAGTCGATCCTCCTGGAAACTTGCATCGTGTAAGGCTGCGCTCACCGCGACAATTGCGCGCCCCCGTCGTTTCGCAACAGCGGCCTCCGAGCCCACTCCGGGGAAGCCGTACTATATCACGACACCGATCTTCTATGTCAACGCCGGTAAGCTGATTGCAGTACTTCTTCTCAGCTGAGGGACACGTATAGCTAATGACTGGTTATTTCTAGCTCCTCATGTCGGCCATCTGTATACCATGGTCATTGCCGATGTCCTAAAGCGATGGCGAACATTGCTCGGCGAGACCGATGCTCAGCTACTGACGGGAACCGACGAGCACGGAATGAAGGTATCCCAAGGCCTATCTTATAGACGGAAACGACGCCGAATGATAACGAAGATTGACTTGTCGCCGTCATAGATCCAGCAGGCTGCTCTAGCCGAGGGAATGGAAACGCAAGCGTTGTGCGATCGGAACTACAAGAAGTTTGAGGTGGGTATCTGTCAATCATCGGCTAGCTTGTCTCAATCATGCTGAGTTGAAATCCATCAGGACCTGGCGAAGGCTGCAGACTTGGACTACAACTACTTCATTCGAACGACGGAGCCTGCGCACAAGGAAGCGGTCCAGTACTTCTGGGTATGTCAAGCCATGCTTTACCTTTGGCTCTCACTAATAAGGGTATAGGACATGCTGCAACATAGGGGGTTCATCTATACCGCCAAGCACGAAGGATGGTACTCGGTCAGCGATGAGACCTTTTACCCCCAAACACAAGTGCATAAATCACTTGATCCGGAGACGGGACATACGAGGATGGTGTGTCTGTATCAAGCTTTGCATTGGACAGGAATATCTAAGCTGACTTAGATTAGGTTTCTGTGGAAACAGGGAAGGAAGTGGAGTGGTCTTCAGAAACGAACTATCATTTCCGACTGTCGGCCTTCCAGGAACGCCTACTAGATCTATACAAAACCGGCTTCATTACCCCAACGAATTATACAACCAACATCGTCAAGTCCGTTTCTGAAGGTCTTCAAGATCTGTCGATCTCCCGACCATCGGAGCGTCTGACGTGGGGTATTCCAGTACCCGGAGACGACACGCAAACCATCTATGTCTGGGTAGATGCGTTGGTCAACTACCTCACTAAGGCAGGCTATCCCTTCGCTCCGGGCCAAGGGGCTCGTCTCGGTTGGCCGGCGGATGTACATGTGGTTGGGAAAGATATTGTTCGGTATGAGTTGGTCCTTTGCGCTTTTGCGTAAGGCAACATGGCTAACCATATAAAAGCTTTCACTGTGTTTACTGGCCAGCCTTGCTTATGGCTCTCGATCTTCCGCTGCCTCGCAATGTCCTGGTCCATGGGCACTGGACATTGAATCGAGAGAAAATGTCCAAGTCCACAGGCAATGTGGTGAATCCTTTCTTCGCAATCCACCGCTTTGGCGTCGACACGATGCGCTTCTTTCTCATTCACCAGGGTGAACTGGCGGGAGACGCAGATTATGACAACGCTTACATCATCCGCGATTACGAGAAGGTGTTGCAGAAGGGCCTCGGCAACCTCGCTGCACGGACGATCGGGTGTGCGAAGAAGGAGTTCCGGACTTACATCGTCAATGGAGTAGAGGGAATGCTTCCCTCACCGACATCTGCCGATACGGACTATGAAGGGCAACTGCGAGAGCTACCCACGAAGGTTGCAAACCACATGAACAGCCTAAACCCGCGTGCAGCCCTGCAAGAAATCAGGGCTATCATTGAGTTGGTAAGGAGCCATACACACCTCTTCCTCTCCCTCCCTATCAAGCCCTCGACCTGAACTGACGAATTTGACATCAGAGCAATAAGTACTTTCACAATACTGCACCCTGGCAGAACCCTGGAGAGACCCAGCGAGTCATCTACAATGTCGCCGAAACCATACGGATGAGTGGTATTCTGCTGCAACCATTTATGCCCACCAAATCGAAGGAGATTCTGGACATGTTTCAGGTGCACCCACAGAGCAGAAGCTTCGCGTCGGCCGAGTATGGGTCGGACCCATCCTACGGAGAAGATACTAAAAAGAAAGTCCTGTTTCCCCCGCTTCCTTTTCGATTTGATAACGAATAGCGCCCGGGACCCAATCACGACATCCAATCTGGAAGTAAGGCCGGTCAGCCCGGTGTGGCAGAAGAGGAGAAAAGGCGGATCTCCTGGGAGGGTCACGATCTCCGCTCCCAGCAAGTGCGGAATTCCAGAGCGTTCCTTCGACCCGGTCAGGTCAGTCGCTTGATAAAGGTTCGCCAACGGGCGCTTTATCCCTGACCTATGCCCCATCTGCAAGGGAGGTTTATGTTATGTCATCGGTGGATGGCGACTGGAGCAAGGTTTCGTAATGTTTATCAGCGGGAAAATGGGTGTGGTGAGTGGTGGTGGTTGCGCTCCGCCCAGGCCTGGGAGATATCGGTTCGGGAAACTCAGGGAGAGAGGGTTTTCCGCGGCAAACTGGGTTGCTGTGAGAGCCGACTATATCGGGAACCGTGCGTTGTATATCACATTCACGGGGGGGTGTCCAGAGGGTTATATCATGAGGAGAAGTATATCAGGTTTGTTGGTTGAGTTTCTCTGACGGATTGTTTGTGAAAAGAAACGCAGAGGATCTCATCTCAACTCATTTCTACCTATTCTTGGTTCTCTCCCCTCCTATCTTGTACATTATCGTTTCTATCCTTCACATACAATCACTCATCTATACTAGATCTTCCATACTTCCACAGACAACGCATTTCCTTTCATCTTATTTTTCTGATCCCAACAGACCGGGTCTCATCTCCCTCCTCGCCCAGCCTCGAGGAAACACGCACACTTTCTCTCCCCAAGAAAAGAGCAAACCAAATAACCATGGGCAGCATCTCCCTCTCCCAGACGGATCCCACCGCCACCAAGAATACAGACCTCCCAACCTTCAAGACCCCATGGCACCCGACCCCCTTAATCGAATCCACCACCCTCTCTCGCGCCGCGGGGTGCCGGATCTTCCTGAAGCTGGAGAACCTGCAACCGAGCGGCTCCTTCAAGTCGCGGGCCATGGGCAACCAGATCCTGTCGCACCTGCGCAAGGCCGAGCACGCCCACCGCGCCGTCCACTTCTACGCCTCCTCCGGCGGCAACGCGGGGCTGGCCGCCGTCTGCGCCGCCCGCACCCTCGGCTACCCCTGCACCGTCGTGGTGCCCGTCTCCACCAAGCCCCTGATGGTGACGAAGCTGCGGCGCGCCGGGGCGGCGGACGTCATCCAGCACGGGGAGACGTTCGCGGAGGCCGGCTTGTATATGAAGGAGGTTGTCATGCAAACACAATCTGCCGGAGAGGAGGAGGTGGTGAAGATTGCGCTGCATCCGTTTGATAATGAGCCCATCTGGGAGGGCAACAGTACCATCGTCGATGAATTGGTGCATCAGATCCCTTCGCCGGCGGGGCCGGAGGAGGAGGCTATCCATGCCGGACGGGCGTTGCCTGTCGATGCGATCATTTGTAGTGTTGGGGGTGGCGGGTTGTTGAATGGGTTGGTGGCGGGGATTGAGCGGGCGCGGCTGTCATCGTCGTCGTTGGCTGAGCCGGTCAAGCCGGTGCATCTGCTCGCCGTGGAGACCAAGGGCACGGATTCCCTGGCCGCCGCGCTGCAGCATCAGGAGCTGGTCTCCCTGCCCAAGATCACCTCGCAGGCTACCTCGTTGGGCGCGGTGCGCGTCTCCGAACGCACCTTCCAGTATGCCGTGAACCCGCCCTCGGGCGTCAAGGTGCATAGTGCCGTGTTGTCGGATGCGGAGGCGGCCAGGGGCGTGTTGCGGCTCGCGGATGAGGAGCGGATGTTGGTCGAATTGGCGTGTGGGGTTTGTGTCGAGGCGGCCGTTGGCGGTGGTTCGTCGTCGTCGTCAGCATATAAGAAAAGGAAGTATGTGGATGAAGGTTACGGGGATGATCGGCTGTCGGCTGGGGAGAATGACGACGAGGGCTTCTCGCCCGTGCACTCCCCTTTGCCTGCGGCGGCATCGCTGTCGTCGAAATTGAAACAGTTGATCCCCGACTTGAATGAGGACAGCCGCGTGGTCATCGTTGTTTGTGGCGGCAGCAATGTCACCATCGATATGGCGGCGGAATGGCGGAAGATGCTGAGTGAGGGCTGGGCTTGACTGCGTTGGGAGGTCGGGTTTTGTCATATACGAATAGATATGCTGCTTTCTGGGTGCAGAGCCTGGACGCGCACGTTTTCGCTTACGATCTTTAATGAATTCATGATTGTTTCTAGGTTCGCTTTGGTGCATTTGCCTCTGTAGCAGGAGAACTAGAACCGGATGAAATCTGACGCCGGAATGCAATTAAGTTTCTTCTGTCACTTGTCAGGTAGAGAGCATTTCTGCGATGATGACTATGTGGCAAGAGGGTGTTGTCCGAGACTCGGTTGGGGCAATTTACGGCTTTGCATGCATACACCTTCTTTGACCAGACTGTCAGTATTCATTTCACTAAGAAGATTTCTGATCATGCAGATACACTGTGTCCTAGCGAGGACCGTCTGACATACCTGTCGTTTATCGCCTGTCAAATGACACTTTGTTTGCTGATCGTGACGACAGCTGAACGTGCTTTCGCTGATCTTCATCACGTCAAGCTGGATTCCACCATGCCCGCATGCTTCGTTCACCGTGTTGACTCCAAACTACCTGCTTAGTCCGGTAATATTGTGCCTCCACATGCTATACAGGTGCATCACCGTATTCACGGCCCCCCTGGAGCTCCTCTTCTCCCTCCCCATCATCCTCCTCGTCCTCCCATTCTGAGTCCGCCTCGCTTTCTCCCTCCAATGGGTCAGTAAAGGTGACTATCCCCTCATCTTCTTCCTCGCCATCTAAATCTTCGTCAAGCATGGTTATCAGTTCTACCAGAGCAGGTGAGACTGCCACACCCTCAAGCGGTAGAGGAGCTTGTTCAGAGCCCCACAAGTTTCTCCCGGCTGAGGCCGAGTCCTCAGATCCGTTGGCATCTTGGTTCGACTTGGGCGTGTCACCGTCAAGTTTGGGTGCTAGGTTGAGTACACGAACTGCCTTGATGGGGAAAATACGAGCGGGGCCTTGCTCTGGTTGTGGAGGTGCGGCTCCGGGGAGATGAGGAAGCGATTGACGCCATGCGATAGTCTAGTCCGAATGTTAGTCCTGCGTATCCCAATCTCACAATTGAAAGAAATGTAACATACAGTGTAAGTAGTCATGATCGCATCATCATACAGAGCCATGAAACTGACCGGCACATTAAGATGCACCACGGAGCTGGTGACGAGTGAGAACGACCCGCGGGCAGGACGATCTCCAACTTGTACTCGATCCTTGTCATCAAGCCCGACAACATACACCCGGTCTTGGATTTCGAACATCACGCGGTGGTTACGCACGGACAACCACCCACCCAGGTCAAAGCCCCGCCCATTGGAATCACATTCGATGAGATCACTATGCGCCGCCATACTGGCTGAACTTTCGAGTGCCTTGCGCCAGTTAGAGCACACGAAAACACGACCAGCACGGGAGAAGCCGGTGAAGAGTTCACCATCTAACATGCCAGCTCCCCATTCGTCCTCCCTGTTGCGAACATGCTCAGGGTCATTGGGCGTTGGGAATGGGCCCCGCTCGACCTTGATCGGGACCAGATGATCTTTGCGAGATACCCCCTCCTGGTATGATGAACGCGATGTCCCCTGACGCACGGCGTCTGCAAAGCCCGCAAATGCTGCTCGTGGGGAGGGGTGCGCGACCGCTGGCGGGCGAATGTGATACTTCTCCGTACAGAGTGACGGCTGCAACTCACCCAAGAACGCCCCCGACTTTTTATCGTAGACGTGATACCCTCTTGGACCCATGGAGTAGATCACGGCATCCTGACTCTGGTCGAGATGGCCCACTGCATCTTGCTCAATGTCCAAGTGCGTAGTGAGCTGGGGAGGTCTCTGTGTCATATCGTACACGAAACCCTGCCCCTCGGTCGAGACCACGCAGAGTGATCCGTACGAGAGCTGGAAGCCTCGCGTTTGACAATCATGGTCCAATATTGCGATGCGCCGGAATTCGCCACGCTTGGCCCCTTCCAGATCCGCCTGCCAGACCTCCAGTGCATCCCCCTCGCGATCAAAGACGGCCATGCCATCCTGATATTCCAGATGCGCGAAGGGGCGGACCGCATCCTCATCGCTATCCAGCGTCGAGGGAAGGTTCCACAGATTCAGGCCCGTGTCCATGTCAGTGACGTATAGTCCGCCCGCATGGGATGTTGAGATGAAGATTCGACGCTTGAAATCGGGGCGGAACCTCCAGATAAATTCATTGCCGACCTGCAGCACCGACTCTCGCGCAGATGGTTGCGACTCGGCCCAATTGCGGGTGAGCAGCGCTTGGCGCTTACACAATTCTTTGCATGGTAGAGCACCTTCAAATAACTTAGAGAATGTGGTGTTGCTCAGCTGAGAGGAGCGTCCGGAGGGTTGATTATTCTTAAGTGCAGCGGCGTAGATTGCTTGTTGGTGTGTGACGTCGATAAATTGATGCCAGGCTTTGGATACCGCGGTAAGAGACGCTAGGGTGGGTGCGGGGGTGAAGTCCAGGACCCGTAAAACAACCTCTGGAGGTAAAACGCTTAGAGGATCTGCTAAGAGTTCAAGCTCAGACATTCTCGGTTCAATGAGTGTTCTATGAGGCAGGAAGTAGGAAGAGAAGTTGCAGAGAGTTGGAGAAGAGGGGCCCTTGATACTGATGATTCTGTCTCGGCTCACCGCCCTCGATAAGGACTACATTTCTTATCGCTCCGCTCTATCGGAAATGCGGAAGAGTTGCGATAAAACTAAGTATATACTTGAGTTTCACTGGGTACATGCAATGCAATTGGAATGGCTGAGCCTAAATCAGAATTCGCAATCATGCAGAAATCGTCGCTTCTGGTCCTGTGATAGATCGAATCCGATAATCCCAGTAGTTTCTCCGAATGGGATCATACTTTTCCTTTAGCAATGTGAGCATTTGAACCGCCTTCTGGCCTGACGTTGGCTCCGTTTCCTCTGCAAGCACATCAGCGAGCCATTCTATGGCATGGCTGCTCTTCACCTCGAAGTCGTCGTGCTTTTCCGTCACAAACTTTCCAGCAAAGTCCTTCCACTCCGCCAGGGGTCGGCCTGCAGCGCGCAGCACACCCCTCGCGTAAGACCATGGACTGCGATTCTCTGGCGCCCGGACGATTTTGGACTGGGCGAACTTCAACTCCGCGTCGACTACGTCCTCATCAACCACTGCTAGTCGGCCCTTCTCCGCGGGGGGTCCGTCACTATTTGGCATCCCTGCATCGGGCTCTCCATCACGAGGTCCGAAACGAAGCATAAAGCGGTGATTCCAGGCGGAATTGTTTCGGACGTCCGAGGTCAACAAGGCCTCGACATCCTGGATCTCACGTGGAGCATCCCACAGTTTGAAATGCCGCACCAACCAATGGCGGTAGGTCCACACGTGGTAGTTCTTGGAGTCTTGAGCAAACATTTCCATCAAGAAGTCTGCTTCCTTGTGTGGAGGCGTAGGGAAGAAGTCCTCGCGTGATACCAAGACTTGGCGATGGTGCCTGGGGGTATTAGATGTCTAAAGGTACACACGAAACGTAGAGGGTAGCTGATCATACCAAATTTGATAGTTCTTCAGATACTTGAGCGATACACCATTCAACCATTCCAGTTCGTCCTGAAGGTCTTTCCCTAAAGCAAAAAGAATCTTTGCTCGGTAAATCCTTTGTTTGGTCAGCCTTACTTTCAGTATTGCTTGGGGCTAGTCAAGAGTGAAGTTCATATTCGCTTACCATACGGTATAATGAGCGGGGTTCATTGCGATAATGTCTTGAGTCAGCTTCAACGCCCTTTCAGACATCTCGTTGGCGGCCATTACTGCGCGCAAATATGAGGTGGCTTCGAGGTATGCTTGGGGATAAGCAATGGTAGCGAGAGGCTGGGCGCCGGATTCGGAGCCATCGTTGAGAGGGATGGGTTGGATCGAAGCCCATTCGGGGTCTGACGAGTATTTGCCCTCCATTTTTGTTCGCTAGATTTGGGATAGCAACACAGTCCTGGGGGAAAGATGGACAGCTCCTGAGAGGCGACACAGCACGTCCCACAAGTAACCAATTTTAGACGATGTCGAGATTTAGTACTATGCGTTGACACAGCATGATATAATCACAAATCCTGGCACTCGCAACCACGGAGACCGGGTTAGCTGCAAAGATAGGGTCCTGTGTCGGGTTTGGCAAAGCAAATGATGCAGCTAAATTCAATCACGGGATTTTCGACCACCAAACACAGAATTTCTGTTCAGGCGATAGTACACACGAGTCTCCGAGTTCATGTACAGATGTGTTATGTAGATGATTTATTCAATTGGACGCTGCCTGCATTGATTTGGAGTGCTCTGAAATTGATAGATTGAATCGAAAGCGCAAGTGTGTTTGGGGGAATTGGAAGCTGGTGGTGGGGTATCCTCATGCCTGAGGCATCTCAAAGACAATATCAAGGCAGCCATGCATGCAATCTATTGTTCTCAATTTTTTCTCATTCTTCAATGCTTTCTTCTGCTTATCTCCACAACTGTGATTCGACCAGCGTTCAGTTGCTCCTTGCTTCTGGTCAACACTCCGATTCATGTGTCTTTCAGGGCCTCTTTGTCTTTATCATACATACTCACTGCCCAGAACTCCGGCTACTTTGGAGTTAAGTCCAGACCGCAGGATTTCCCAAAGAGGATAAAATTCCCCTACCGGCGTTGCGCCGCTGCTCCCCGCACATCCCCCCAGTCCGTCGTCACCTGCAACCGCAGCCAGCACATCCTTCCTTCTCGTTCGCCTCCCTCCTAACATGCCAACTCAATCACTAGCCTTATCCTTAACCTACCATGAGCCCGCTATTGATTGATAATGCGTCGCGTCAAGAAATCCCGTAATGGCTGTGCTAGGTGCAAGAGCAAACGGGTGAGTCGCCCTCCCTATCGGTGCTATCAGTTCCATTCCCACACCCACAGCCCACGGAAATCTAACGATACCTTCTTTCTCCAGGTCAAATGTGGAGAAGAAAGACCTCACTGCAGTCGATGCACCCGCTTAGGAGTTCACTGCCCTGGATACGTCCAGTCGCTACGATGGGTAACCAAATACCCAGACCGCAACCCTGATACAGCCCATGAGACTTCCGATGAAACTACAGCTGAGCCAAGCGCTCGATCCGATGCTAGACCTCCGGATAACTCAGGTTCCCCGGATCATGTCGACCCCCACACACAGCCTTCATTAACCGCTAACGATGGCTCTTTCAATCTCACGTCTCCTGACGCCCAGGTCGAGTCGAGCACGCTGGCACTGGGCGGCCCGCACGCTTTATGCGATAGTCTCTGGGATTTACAACAGTCCGGTACACTTCCCGAGCTCGCAGATCTATGCAATCAGACTCCGACTTCTGCCTCGGGGCCAACTCCAGCGCCTCAAGACGGCTCGATCTTCAATTTCGGATCGCCCAACCACGGCGACGATCCATTTGGTCTATCCTCCCTAGCAGCGCCCATACTGCAGGATGAACCTCGCAGCTTTTCCGGGTTCTCACCATCTACCATCGTACGCCATTATCCACCTCCCAACTCGAAAGTACCGCAACGAGACTTCACCTCGATCTCACAACCTCTAAATAACCCATCATGGACCCTCATCGAATACTATTTCAAAGAAGTGGCGGCATTGTTCTCGAGCTATGACAGCCAAATGAACCCCTTCCGATCCACAGTGTCTCGGCTCTGGGGCTCATCCCTCGCCATGTGTCGGACCATGCAGAGCATGGCAGCGGCCACCCTCGTGAACGACTTCCCCGAGTTTGGACCGTTGGGCCGAAAGATGCGCAACGAGGCCGTCGACATCATCAGCAAAGAGTCGAATCTGGACGACAAGTCCCTGCTAGCACTTCTCATGCTGGGCCAAACGGCAAGCTGGCACGATTCCAAAGACCTTGGCATCTCGTTCTTCAATCTACTACGGAACCATCTCGATACAAGACCCGAGAAGAGCCCAACAACAGGCCGCGGCAACAATCATCAATTTTTCGAAGAGGCCTTGATCTACTGGGAAATGCTCCTGTCCTTCGTCGCCGACGATTCCGCGGTCCTGTGCGGGACCACGGCCGCAGGGCCCGAGGAATCCCTCGTCCTACAGCGCGTGCCTCACCCGTGGACGGGGATTGCGCGTGACACCCAATTCACCGTCCAAGAGGTGGGACGGCTGGTGCGCCGCGAGAGAAAGCGGATGCGCTGCCGCACCTTCACGTCCCACGCCGACGTCGCACAGGCGCAGCAGGCCATCGAGCGAGCAGAGGAGCTCGAAGAACGACTGTTGGGACTCGCGCACCCTGCGGAGGCCGAGATCATCAGCCCCGGCGACGACGAGACCCCCGTGTGGCATCTCCTCACCATGGCCGAGGTCTACCGCTGCACCGGGTTAATGCAGCTATACCGCGTCTTTCCCGATCTGCTGCGTCGACGACTGCGTCCACAACGGGCCTCGGGCAGCAGCCCCCCCAGCGGCGGCGAGGATGCGTCGTCCATGTCCATGTCCATGAACAACCGCGATCCCTTCTTGTCCCCTGCGTTCGGCAACTCGCAGCACTGGTTCTGCGACCCTGCCCTTCTGCATCCCAGCCCTGGCGAAGCCCCCACCGCCGCCACGGCACCGCCGGGGCCGCCGCCGTTTGAATCCATCCCCACGCCTGCGTCGGCCTCCCAGTACGACACCTGGCTGACCGAACTCGCCCTCACCACCCTCTCGCGCCTGAAGACCATCCCGCTCGAATCCCGCACCCGGTGCCTGCAGCCGTTCCTCCTGGTCGCCTCGAGCAGCGAACTCCGGCTCCCTCGGCTTCCACCCCTAGAAACCAACCTCGACAGCAACGGTCCGAATATCTCTGCCCACGCCATCGATGTCTCCCAGACGCGTCGGTTCATTCTCGGCCGTCTCACCTCCTTCATGCATGTCCTGCCCCCGAAGCCGATCGGCGTCTGTCTGGAACTGGTACGCGAGGTGTGGCGGCGGATGGACGCCGGCGAACCGGAGGTGTATTGGATGGACGTCATGATGGAAAAGGGGTGGGAGACGACCATGGGCTGAATCCTGGGTTACAAAACACAGGCAACACTTTCACACGAGCACATGTACATATATACTTATGAGAATGAATGCTGGATACCCAGTTGATTGTATGAATTATATGAACTGCACTTTGCATGACAATCTCCGCGTAAAGAATATATCGGACAGGGTGACTTCTGTCTGCAAGGGTAACTATTTTCCCACATGGATGGTATCGACATTTGACTTCCGACAATTGAACTGTGACTCACATTGGACCAGCGTTTCAAATACCTCGATCGCGTATTGTCCCTTCTCACTCCAGCCAACACCTAGACTAACAAGATTGAATAACAAGGAAGAGGGGGGGAAAAGGCGGTTTGCGGGAGCCCGAAAAGAAAGGCAGAATATGAAGGCGTAGAAAGCAGAATGGAAACGAAATCATGGAGTTAAAAGTGGAATAACCCAAGCAAAAGGCACGCATGCCCAAGTGAAGTCCCAGGGGAATTATGATACACAGAAATGAAAAGGCTGATGAGATCGAATGGAAAGGAAAAAGTGAAAAGCATCAAGTGCTCCAGATGGGGTGATTAAACGTAGGTAGAAAAGATGCAATCATATAATGCTCAGTCCCCTGTTCAGGGAGTGAGCGGTCATGAGAAACTGCCAAACAGAAATAAGTGGCGAGATAAGGAGTTCGCAAGCGATGCAGGGGAAGACGAGTGTCAGGCCTGTTCATACTGCCCGTCTCCAAAACTTCCAGCCTTCGCGTTTTTCCTGAACGCCGACACCTACGAGTCTGTCAATACCGACGGGGCCGTCGGCGTTCTCAAACTTTTGTTGATCAATTTCCTCACCACCCTCCTCATCGGTGCCGTTGCGCAGAACTGCCGGCCAAAGGACACCGACACCGTCACCGCCTAGAGTGGTCTCGTATTTCGTGAAGTTCTCGTCGGCAAGCTTCTGCTCGAGCTGTCGTAGAGACTCCTCGCTGGCATCTGGGCGGAGAAGAGAGATTGCACATCCACCTCCACCGGCACCAGTCAACTTGGACCATCCGATGTCGGTATAGTCAACCAGCTCGCGGATTCGCTCCAGTCGCGGATGCGACACGCCTAACGACACAAGCAACCCGTGGTTAATACGGAGCAAGGAACCGAAACGTTCAAGCTCCATCTGGTCCAGAGGTCTGCCATCCGTATTCTTGATGGCGTCTTTAGCAGACACGGTCACCTTCTCAATTGCATCCAGCATCGATTCAGTCACCAGGGGATGCTCCTCTTTGAGCTTGCCCACCTTGGCAACCTCAACCGCGGTGGAGCGAGCCTGTCGCGTGTCTATCAACCAGAGGGGCAATTCGGGGAAGTTGGGTACCGGCACCACCGTGGGCGGCTTAGTGTAATCTTCGCGCCGGAAAAACACAGCCTTACCGCCTGCGGAGACCGTATTGTCTACTCCACTCGGGTTTCCATGCATACACATTTCTCCAACGAAAGCCCATCTATTGATGCGCTCAATCTGAAGCTCCGCCTCATCTGGGGGTTGGTCGGGGTGGGGACCAGCTAGGGTGCGGATTTGAAGTAGTAGGGCCGTACTCATACAGACACAAATACTAGCACTGCTACCGAGTCCAGCACCAATAGGAATCGTAGAGCGCAGGGTGTAGATAGCGCCATGACTCTCGGGAGAGCCCAGGGAGCAAAAGAGGTATAGGAATGCTAGGGCAGAGCGACTGTGGATTTTTCGTAAATCCTCCGGCGCATGGGGCGACACGTCTTGGACGTGGGGCATGAGTGCGTCGTACAACTCGGTGTCGAGAGATGTGACCAGGTCGTAATAGTACTTCTTCTTGGAGGGCTGCTTGAAGAGCTCCCATGGTAGCTCATCGATGTTCCAGGTGTGATCGAACTTGATGTCTCGGAAGTTTAAGGTGATAGTGCGCTGCGACTTGGACAGGGTGGTGACGAGGAAGTAGGAGCGGAGGGAGATGGCAGCAGCCATGGCTGCCTTACCGTGTACCACGGCATGTTCTCCAAAGACGATGACCTTTCCCGGCGCGGACACCATGAACGGCGGGGCCATGGGAGACGAAGTTTTCCGGGCCATAGCTTTCTTGATGGAGCTTGCTTCGATGGTAGGAGAGGTCGCAGGTAGACTGGAGGTAGTTATGCTGGTAGTGTTGGTGGAAGTCGTGGAGGCGGCGTCGGAGGTCTCAGGGCTATCATCGCAGACGGTAACCGTCTTAGCACGAGGGGGGAGGGATTGATCGGGAATAATGTGTAACATTGTGCGACGTTGACCGCTCTTCGTCGCTCTGAGACTACCAGGCTTGCGACGACCGCGACCGTTGTGCATTCCTGGTGGAATTGACTAATAAGGGGTGGTGGTATAAGTGTGGAGGGAGGGAGGGGCGGGTCGTGGATGGCGGAGATAGAGATGGAGATGTAAGGGGAGAGAGCAGAAAGAAGGCGCGAACGAATGTCGAGGTTGGCAAGGACAAAGTCAAGGGGGGTTAAAGGAAGGAGAGACTAGATGTTGAATCGAGTGAAAAGCATCGCGCTTTTTGTAAGAAAACTTGCGAACAAGAAAAAAGAAAAGAATTAGGGATAGAGAAGAAAGAAATTGGGAGAGAAAGACAGAAAAGGGGAGTGAGTGAGTGAGTGAGAGCGAGGGAGTTCAGCTGCAGTGAGATTCGCAAGTGCCAACTGCTACTATTGATTGGGGTTTCTTGACTGGGGGGGGAAACTCCAAAGGCCTAGGCTAGCCTGAGGTGTCCACCACCTTCTCATCCACCTCCAATCCACCAATCACACACAAAGTATTTCTCATTACTCACCGGCGGTTCTTGTTTGTCCGCACCGTGATAGGCATTCAATCTACAAACACTCAATCATTCTTTGACCCCGGCTGTCGTAGAGGCAGGCGTGATTCAAGGCTCCGGGGGTGGTGTCCATGAAGACTGGATTCTACACGGTAGCTGTGAGTCCGCCTGTAGCTTCCCTGCTGTCGGCTGAGGTGTTTTTATGCAGGATTGTTCAGGCTGACACCAGTCAGCATCACGCCTCAGCTGCAGCTCGGACCACTTAGTTATGCTTTTTCTATACTTCTAGATCCATTTGGGCCCCTCTTCCCCATGGTCTCTACCGTCGCTTGTTTTGAGTATGATCTATGGCTTACTGGTCTACGCACATAAAGCAGCATGGTGGGTGTCACTACTAGGTACACATTGTCTATCCTACCAGCATTGCAGTTGAGCCCCAACAGAGCCCGAAACTTCGAATAACATGAAGGCATGCGGAGTAAGCTTGATCAAGTGATCCTATGAGTAATAACTAGATGGCTACACCACGATGAATAAACATTCTGGGCCTCCCATCCGGGGTTGGTGTAACCATGTGTCCTGCATTGCGGGCGACAAGCTCAGTAATTTCGACTAAAGCACTGACTCATTCTGGTCTCGAGGTCTGTCAGTTCTCTCTTTCGTTCTCTCGAGTGTGCATGACAGATAGTACAAGGCTGGCTCAAAGCATACCTCCTTCCGTCACTCCATCAGAGAGCCGGTCGTCGATGCAATATCCATGGCAGCATCGCCTATCATAATCGCAATTGCTCCGCTGATAGAAGCGATAGCCATCTCGGCAACGATGGCAACGTCCACTTCGACCGTAGTCTCGAATCTCGTAACAGCGATCACGTTGACCGGCCACGGCGGTCAACAGGCTGCAACCGACAAGAAAGGACAGCCAAGAGCTGAGTTGCATGGTGGTCAAGGCGGTTTCGTTGTGATGAAGCTTGATGATCTGGAGAGATGGAAGACTTTCAACTCCCCCATGATGGGCGGTTGCAGTCCAGCTTTAAATACCCTCGAGCTGCTGCCATGATGCTCTCGCTGGACGTCGTCTGTCCGAGTGCTACAGACCTACAGCCGCAATCCAGATTGTAATCGGAATGTTTTTGGAAGTCAATCTCCCACTCGGACATTTACCTATGCAACACAAAGACCCAGGCGTCACAACCAGCTGACCGAAAAGGCTCCCGTCCTATACAAAGTCCTCTATGCCTGTAGAACACAATACTGCAACGGTGGCTACATCTTCATGGACTGATTGGCAGTAGGGTTGATGTTCGAGTCGATGGATCAGCTATGAGCATCCTCTTCGGCCGACAGGTCGAACACCTCGATTGTTGATGTCTCACTTCTCGGAGGGTACGTCTTTCTTATATTGCAATCCCCTCATCTTGGCGGTGACATTATTGTCTGCAAGTGCTACTGCAGCCAGTGAGCATCACCATGAATTTGGTCATGGTCACCGAGTTTCCCTACTAGTCCATACTTGACGACTGCCAAGTATCTTTAGTACTCGGTTCCGTTTGGCTTGCCCGACGGTATCTGACACATGTTAGCATAGCTCTTCCATCTTCATCGTATCATGCAGGATGGGCATCATTCAGCGGGATAAAATAGCAAACCCCATACGGAGATGAGAGAACTGGCTGGAGTTCTGGAGTTTCGCCAACGGACGATGACCGGCTGGGAAAGTGCAGACTATACACATCAACGCGAACGAAGCCGCTGGACTTGCGCAGAAGCGCGCAGACCAGGGCACAGCTATCATCTGCCATGTTAATGTTTCATCTCTGAAAAACTCTTCACGGCCTCTTTGCCGATAAAAATCAAGGAAAGTGGCGTCAAATTATCTGGATTTGCTGCCCGGTATTCTCGGTGACTATTTGGATGACAATCAAAATGCTACATGGGATGAGCACTATACCCTCACAGCTACTGCCAGGCCGAGTTGTTAAACCTTATCGCTTTGTCTTCATCGTTTCCTGATGTGGTTATTGCAGGACAATACCGGGTTCGTGGGTCCTCGACGTCCAGAGCATGAACCATTTCAGCAACCTGTTCCAGTCCTACCTGGCCTCTTGTTGACATACAACAGAGCCTCTTTCCCGAGCTGGAGAGATTGTCCGATAAGCCTGACTGTGAAGGGAACTTGGTCTGCTGGGGATGCGGAGGGATAATTCACGCACGGTTTGGGTTGGATCACAGCAACCATGGGCATTGCGCAAAGCCAGTCAAGAAGTATATCGAGCGGTTGCAGGTTGAAAGGTCTTGGCTAACGTTTGCGGTCTATATTCGTAGGATGAATTGAGGTTTTGGTCAAGCGTGCAGAGGCTCTATGCAAGCCACAAACCTTGATTGGAAACTGGGCAGCGCAGCAGCAGCAGCAGCAGCAGCAGCAGCAGGTGGCACTTCGGCAGCTCTGCCGCCAGTCGAAAATGAGAGATCGACGACGTTTAGCTGACAGCCGAGTTGAAGAATAGTACGTCAGAAGTGGAGGTAAATGGCCTTGTGGCTGCAAATCCTGAAGCGACTGTTTCCCCAAAATGCCAGGTGTTTTGCAGGTCTTTCCTTCACCGGAACAGTGCATGGGTTTAGGTTCGTATGATGCAGGAAATATGGTTCGTTACCGCCCGGACTGTTGACACTCTATACTTGTCCCATGACTTCGAACTCATCCCTTTCTTGAAGACTCCACAACGTGCACTATAGCCATAATGGATGAGTTCATTGATCGCCAGCCTGGAAGTATTGTCAGAGTGGAGTTCTTGGGGCCAATGCTGCTCTGGCAGCAATGAAAGGGTTTGCGGACTCAATCTATAAAGCGAGGCTTATTCTCCAGCAGAAACAACCATCTAAAAAAAGACATCTAAGCAAGATAAACCAAGCAAGATCACATCTGTTCTCACTACCTACTTATCTCAATTAACAAAGACTATCAAAGACTCGAACCAACAATCAAGATGACTCGAATCTCGAACGCTGTGACCCTGCTCGGTGCAGGCACACAAGGCTCACGTCTGGCTTACATGGTATGCCGCATCAAGATCACCATAGTTTCAGTCCGTGCTAAGACTAACTGCTCTCAGTGGTCTCGTCTAGGACGACCTGTGTACATCGTCGACAAGGACTCGAATCAGCTATCCCAAGCATCAAGCAGCATCGAGGAGCTGCGCCGCAAAGAGTCATCACCTAGTGAACACGGCCCGATTATCGAGCTAATCGCTGCTGATCTGGACAAGGCGCTCCATGAATCCTGGCTCGTTATTGAGGTATGTATTCCCGTCAGAAGCTGAGACGCCTGGTTGTGGTGCCAGTTCTAAATCTTCGCCAGTGTGTCCCAGAGGATCTAGACTGCAAACGCTCCATCATCAAGCAGCTCGACAACCAAGCCGATCCAGATATCATCATTGCGTCGAACTCCAGCAGCTACTCAATCACGGAGGTCTGTGACGGCCTGGAGTTCAGAGCTGATGATCGATTCGTGAATCTGCACTCTTGTTAGTTTCCTTTGACCGAAGACTTAAGCTCATTCAGAAATCGAACTAACAAACACATCTCATCCACTCAGTCTGGCCACCAGAAACACGGGGTCTGAGCCCTTCCCCTCCCCCTTCCTTTACAGCAACCCCCCTCCATAACAGAAAACTGATATATATCCCACAACAGTCCTCGAAATAATGGGCACCGACAAAACCCGCCCCGACATCATCCCCCGCCTCATGGACGAGTCCCGCGAGCATGGGTTCCAACCCTTCCACGTCCGCAAGGCCTCCACCGGCTACATCTTCAATCGGTACCTAGCCCGAACCCATCTTTTCAGAACTTTCCCGAACCTTTGCACATGCTAATGCCCACGGGGATATTAGGATTTGGGCCGCCATCAAGCGGGAGACTCTGATGGTGCTGGAGGAAGGCATCGCCACCCCGGAAGAGGTCGACCAGATGTACAAGGCCGTCCTGCAAACTCCCAAGGGCCCCTGTGAGCAGATGGATGTGGCCGGGCTGGACGTGATTCTGGCGATCGAGGAGCATTACGCGGAGGTCCGGTCGGGCATCCCCGACGGACCACGCAAGTATCTGCGGGAGATTGTGGACCGGGGACATCTGGGGGTGAAAACTGGCACCGGGTTTTTTTGATTATAATGAGTAGAGGAGACGGTGACCGTGTGGGTGCTTATACTTTCTGTGTACTGTCCTCCGATGTTTACTTGGCTTGAGTCTGGTTTATGTGGTTTGTTAGTAATTTTTAACGAATGGCATGTAAAGTATTTCGGTTTACGAAGTATGGGCAGTTTGGCTGGATAGCTAATACTTTCTTTTCTTGTTTTTCCTAGCATATACTACATCTCCGGCATTGGCGTTTATTTACTTTTCGTTCGTGGTCACTCCTTGGTTTCATTTCTCGGGTGTATACAAGGTTTGTTTACGCTTGCAAGGTTTTGATTTATATATTCCGTCAACGACACATGAATTACAATCAGAGTTAAAAAAAGATTATGAAGATAGGCCCCCTGTTGCCCATAATGAGCATAGGAGTTAGTATCTCTAGATCAGTAGATTTCGAATGGTTGGTATCTTCAATGTGCTGATACAGATATAAATATACATCAACGAGCTGCTATATCATACATGCGACTGCCCTTGTAATTCGGCCGTCTTCTCTTGTATTCGTTTCTTCAGTATATTCTTCTCTTCTCTCTTCTCTCTCTCTCTCTCTTTTGTTTTGCTGTCTCGTTTTCCTCAGCAACTTTTCTACAACATCAATACAAGAATCATCACAGGTTCATCGTTACAGTCATACTGTTGCTATGCACCAGCAAACAAGGCGGCAAACCCTGCCAGAAGATCTCGAGATCGCTCAGGTACGAAGCACTCGCCGCCTCATTCTGCGCCGTTCCCTCGGACGGTGATGGCAGTGTCGTGAAGATCACCGCCGTGTCTTCGCTATGTCTCACCATTAGCTCGTTCAGAATCAGGTGCTGTGCCCGGCTTGGTAGATCGTTGAACGAGAAGGGCACAGACGCCTGCTGTGGGTACCCGGTTGCGGCCGCCGCTCGCGCCGCGAAAACAGACGAGGGTCCGGAGGATGAACGGCGGGTGTAGATGGATTCAATCCGGTGGTGAGAGGCGGAGCGCGGCGGGGAGGAGCTAGCGGCGAACATGATGGACGGGCCAGCGCCTTCTTCTTCGGTGTTGACGCGGGCTTCAGGGATGGGGGAGGAGCTGAAGCGGTTGCTGGACGGTGAGCGGGATGGTTTGGGCCGCGGGAGGACGGTTGATGGTGATGGGGGAGTTTGAGGGGTTCCTGCGGGGTCTGTGCCAGTGTCGGCGGTCATGATGATCGAGGGGACCGGTTGGTCCGGGGTAGCAGATTCAGATGATTCTCTTTGCTTGGCTTTGATGGGGCTGAAGATATTCTGCTGGGAGCTTTGGTCGGGGTCATGGGAGTAGTCGTGTTGGTGATGCTCGTCTTCCTCATCAGACTCGTTATCATCCCGGTATGGTTCAAACTCCTCGTCGCTGCTGTCACTTGTGCTGGACTCGCTGGAGACGTCGTAGTCTACGAAAGCATCGAGCAGGCGATGGGTTTGCATACCCAGACTGACGCTTCCGAGGCCACGGAAGCTGGAGATTGATCGTCGTCGTTTGGACGACAGCATGAGCTTTCGCAGTCCGCCAACCAGCTGGTGCGGTGGTCGTTGGATACCATTTTCGGGGCTTTGGACAGGCCAGCTGGACATCCTCTCCCTTGAGTGGGCGATTCTACCCAGTTCGGCTTGGTCATGGGCCTCGAGAACGCTACGAGCTCGTCGGATGTCTTGCCACCAATCTTCATCCTTGAGAGCTTCGTGAACATGGTCGACATAATCTTCCGTCTCTGGAGTGATTTCGCCATTCACAATCATACGGTATGTTTTGAGGTCTCCGCAGGCAAGCCAGAACACTAAAACCTCGGCCTCGATTCTGAGCTTTTCTAACAACGCCTCAACCCTGCCCCGTTCGTCCTCCACGTCAGTCTCGTACTCAACAAATACTGATACCCGTAGCTTGTATGTCTTCTTCCAAGATGGGACGGTGTTGAGGATGCACCCTAATTGCAAGATCAAGGTGTAAGTGTCGAAGTTCGTAGTCAAGACATTTTTCTTGCTCTCAGTATCCGCGCCTAGCTCTGCACTCATCTGAATGGGCCAAAGATCGATATACTTTTTCATATGTTGTCCCTGGGGACCGGGCAGCTCGAGAGTTTCGAATCCTTTAGCCACAGCAACGTTCATGCGCAGCTTGAAGAGGAGATCCTCCAAGATAGTCACATAGCTTCGGCAGGCCATTGGTGTCTCGGGCGAGCTGTCCGTCATTAAGATTGACTCACGCGAGATGCGTCTACCCCCTGAGTCTTTTCGTCCTGAATCTCTTCGGCCTGCAAAATGGAATCTTTCCACTAAGGACCGCCCTTTACGAAACTGATCGATGATCACAATATTCGGTCGCATACCGCCAAGTCCCGCACTCAAAGCAACATTGCGAATACCCCATTCTGGTGTTGGAGAGACCGTGATGTTGACAAAAGCCTTGACTTTAGAATTCTCAACGAACTTGGTCCACGCACTCTGTTGACGCCGGGCTTCCGGCACGGCTGCGGAGAAGTCATCAGTGACAAGAACGTGACCTAGTACAAATAAGCCCCCTTTTTTCAGAGAGTTGCAGAAGGATATCATCCGAGACTGTTCCTCCAGGTTGGTCACAAATAGTAAGATCTGGGGTCGCCAGAACTTGACGTGTTCTTGCCGAAGCCGAAGCAAATACTTTCGCACTTGGTGGTAGATCAGACTCTGGCTCACATCGCCCCATGGCTTGGGCGGTGAACTATAGTGGATGAGGAGGAAGAGTAGCATCAGTATCGCAACGCAGCCTGAAGCATAGACGCCATCCACGAAAAACATGCTTGCACCGCAGACCAAGGTGCCTGTTGCTGCGGTCTGCCAGTTGAAATAGTGGAAGGAGGGGCGGAAATTCGGGGCAGATCCAATCTTCAGCAGAAAACACGCAAGGTTTGTGACAAGAAATGTCATGAGATATGTCATGGTAACGAATGAGGCAATCTGATTGATGTCAAACAGCATCGTAACCTGAGCGACTATATAGGTTATGATGATCGCGTAGACAGGTTCATCAGCTTTCTTCGTGCCCTGGCCGAAGATCCCGAGCCCTGGAAGCAGACCATCTCGTGCAATTGCTTGAAGGAGCTTGGCCGAACCGATAACTCCCATCAATGATGAGAAGAAACTGGTTGCGAACTCCCCCATGAGGATGACAGCCCCGGAGAGATTCGCCTGTCACACAATTAGCAACGCGATGATGCGTAGTCTTTTATGCAATAACTTACTACTTGTACAACATTGGCATTTCTGTAAAATGAGTCACGGGTGATGGAGGCAGCCATAGCGACAATCACCAAAGTATAAGTCACGAACGTGAGCCCCAAGCCGCACAGAGTGCCTTTTGGGATGGATTTGCTAGGGTTCTTCAGGTCCCCAGACATACTAGCACCGCTGCTGATGTGTGAGCTTCGTATACTATGGTCATCGGAGACGTACCTACGCGAAAATACCACCAGTAGCAGGGAACAAGATACCAAACAGATCCTGGAAATTCTCACGTCCTGGGAGCTGGCTGCCTGCCGCACCCTTGGTGAGCTTGGGCTTGAGATTTTCTAACAACGTCTGGAGGCGGAAGCCCGTGAACTCGACCCCGATTCTAGGGATGCTGAACGGCTTCATGAATATTGCAGATAAAGGTATGCTGAAGGTTGCGACCAGCAGGATGACCAGCAGTCCGTTGCTGGCCCTGGAAAAGATCGAGCTTCCAGCTAAACATATTCCAGTGCATAGGACCAAGATTATGGTTCCCCATAGATACTGCCACCAGAAGCCTTCTTCGAGAAAATTGGCCCAGGTGCCAGATTCTGTGCCGAAGTTCTGTTTGAAACAATCAACCAGACCCACCGCATTCATACCAGTGTTCAGCACATATCCAAGGTAAAACACAATGCCAATGGAGCCACCAAACTCGGGGCCCAGTGAGCGAGAAATCAGATAGTATGCGCCACCACCGCGGACTGTGCCATTAGTCGCGATGGCGGAAAGCGACATGGTCGTCACCAGGTTGATGGTGTACGAAATGACAAGTAGACCTTGTTTCTGTCAGTCAACCATTGGTGTGTCCAGGTACGACATGCAGTATATTTACCTAGCATTCCCAGCAGTCCAGCTTGTCCAAGGATGAACCCGAACCGGAGAAACATCAAAATACTCAAGACGTTCAATGTCGTTGGTACAAAGACTCCTGAAAATGTCCCCAGCTTGTCAGAATTGTCGGAAGCTCGGTTCTGAGCCTCGCGCTCTTTCTGGTCTACGCCAGACTCTCGGAAGGGACCTGAAGCTGGGGGTGGAGGAAGAGTCCCTGCCCTGGGAAAGTCGTGTCTTCCATCCCTGCCTTGTCCGCTCCACCACTGGGTAACATTACTGAAGAGATTGGTAGGAAGTGAGTGACGGTGCCGCTCAGGCGAACGTGAAGATGGCCTCAGCCGTTCATATCGATGGTCCTCACGATTTGGAACTGTAGTTGTTCCTTGAAAGACTTGACTACTGTGTTCCGGTGATGATTTGGTCGATTCACTAGGGTCTAATCTGGAGACATCCTCCTCAGCGGTGCGCGTGGAGAAATTGGGCCTCCGTCGAGACAGGGAGTCCGAAGAATTGGCGGCCCGCTGGTCAGTCATCGATTTCAGCGCCTCCACTCCTTTTGAGTGAGTGTGTCCGCCTGGCCTGCATGCAAGCACCACCGATAAAAATTAGGAGGGTGGGGTGGAGAACTGTCAAGTCCGGGGAAAGACTAAGATTGGAAGGGGAGGCGGACTCGGCGATAAGGAACTTACTGCTGACCCAGTCACGAGGAGAGCAATGTGACAACAGCGACAGCAGTAACCCTCGTGTAACAGAATGGAGAGTAAAGGGAAGGGAAGGTAAGCAAGTAGCACGAGATATGGGGGGGGAGGAATGAATGAATGGATGGATGCCAATCGCGTGTTAGATTAACCGTTATCTTCAAGCAAATTCATCGGGCGGCGATGACCTCATGTGCCCCCTAAACAAACAGTGCAAATCGTCTGTGCTTCTCCTCGTATTGCCTCGTTTGCGACTAAATCGATCATTCTTCCTACATATATGTTAGTTACAGCGTGGACATGATTCATCTCACCCGCCTCATCCTTTTTCGGGTTACGTTGGAAAATAGGCTGGAGACTAGCTAAGTCAACTCACAGGAGGCTTAGCTAGTTAGTGTCCCTGTCGGTCTAATGCGGTGAATCAATTGTGGCTTGCACTTATCCCCGGCCTTCTTTCGACCTTCATTAGCTATTCTTCTTTCTCTCCCTCCACACACCCACACACACACTCTCTCTTTTCTCCCCGAACTCTGCTCTTTGACCATCTCAGTCTTCTTCTCTCAAACCCGTTGTCTCTTAATCTTGGTTCACTTCCGAAAACTCAAATAGACGAATTGTTTTCGGAATTGTTCCAGGGCTTGTCTGATCCTTGCACAAGGACACTTCTAACTCATCTGCCAAAATGTCATCCCCAAAGGCATTCGACAATGGGGAGGGCTCTTCGTCTTTACGGCCCCGTTCATCGTCGCCAATTTCCACCTCTGCAATGCGGTCTAGATCCCCTGCAACCGACGCCTCAGTGAGGCATGCCTCGATCGCCCGCCTGGCGTCCCCGATTCCCTCTCCCTCCAATCATTCTTACTCATCCCGACAAGTGCCCGTACCCGTACAGTCGGCAAGTGGCACCGTCGAGGATTATCGCAAAGTCGACCATTCCTCCTCCATACCAGGTCCGGGCCATTCAATGATCTCCTCTGCTCTACAGGAGTACATGGGCAAATCGCCGCCAGCGAGAGTAGGAACTCCGCCCAGACAGACCGCGTCTCCTGCTCTACTAAACCAACCCATTCGATCGAACTACGGATCCTTTGACGGACGAGAGGACTCGGAGTATTCAGCGGGTCCTTACGAAGATCCGGAAGTTGTCAAGCGGCATCTGGTACAGCCTCAAAATGGAGAAGGCCGAGATTACTATTTCTCGGGTGATGCCGCCAGTAACGCGGACGACGAGTTCTCCAGCTTGCAGCTCCAGGGTGGTGACATAACCAGGCAGGTTTACAGATGGGCGGAAGATGCAGAAGCTGGTAATTCCCTGCGTAAACCGCAACGGAGCAGGAGTTTCAGCCATAATCGGCCTCTGCCCCAAGACGAAACCATGAACATCAACAGCATTCGTGTGCCGGGAGGGTTCCGCAGGGACTATCTACGAAGAGCTGTAGGCCCTGGGGACTCTGAAGACTCAGGTTTGCAGGTGCCCGTCAGCCAACCTCAGTTTCCGACAAGCAGCTTCCTTGAGTTCTTGACCCTATATGGTCACTTTGCGGGTGAAGAGCTAGAAGAGGATGATGAGGTGCTGGGTCCTGACGAGTACTTCTCGTCCGATACCTATGACGAAGTGGAGGGTAGAGAACCAGGTGAAGACTCGGCTTTGCTTCGCCCGGATACGGCTGGTAGAAGAAAGCGCAAGCCGCGCGGCGGCACTGGAAACAATACGGTGACAGGAGCGGCTCTCCTACTACTTAAGTCCTTTGTGGGAACGGGAGTTCTGTTCCTCCCAAGGGCTTTCTTGAATGGAGGAATGCTGTTCAGTAGCCTGGTTCTGCTGGCAGTGTCGCTTCTCAGTTTCTACTGCTTCATACTCCTGGTCAACACCCGGCTGAAGGTTGATGGCTCGTTTGGTGATATTGGCGGCCATCTTTATGGCAAACACATGCGGCGCATTATCCTTGGCTCGATTGTTCTAAGTCAGCTGGGCTTCGTGTCGGCGTACATTGTGTTTACCGCGGAGAACCTACAAGCCTTCGTCCTCGCCGTGAGCAATTGCAAGTCTTTCATTGACATCAAGTTCATGGTGTTGCTGCAGCTGGTCATCTTCCTGCCTCTTTCGTTGATCCGCGATATCAGCAAACTTGGTTTTACCGCACTGGTCGCTGATCTCTTTATTCTGCTCGGTCTGATCTATCTCTTCTACTATGATTTCCTTACCATCTCGAACCAGGGTGGTATCTCCGACATCATTTCCTTCAACCCCTCCACGTGGACGCTATTCATCGGAACAGCTATCTTCACGTACGAAGGAATTGGCTTGATCATCCCCATCCAAGAGTCTATGAAGGAACCTCACCGCTTCCCCGGTGTTCTGGCTGGTGTCATGGTCATTATCACGATTGTGTTCCTTTCCGCCGGCGCCGTCAGCTATGCGGCCTATGGTTCGGCGACCAAGACTGTTGTCATTCTGAACCTTCCCCAGGATGACAAATTCGTGAACGCAGTGCAGTTCCTCTACTCTCTAGCCATCCTTCTCAGTACCCCACTCCAGCTCTTCCCTGCCATTCGTATCATGGAGAACGAGCTGTTCACACGCAGTGGAAAGTACAACCCCTGGATCAAGTGGAAGAAGAACTGTTTCCGATTCTTCCTCGTCATGATTTGCGCATTCGTCGCCTGGGGCGGCGCCGAAGATCTCGATAAATTTGTGTCGCTCGTTGGCAGTTTCGCCTGTGTTCCATTGATCTATGTATATCCGGTAAGCTCTTTAGCCCCTGCACCGCTCTTCCCGTCCTTTGTCACTTTATCACTTGTCACTTTATCACTGACAATGTGTCACACAGCCTCTACTTCACCTCAAAGCCTGCGCTCAGTCTCGCAGACAGCAAATTGCCGACATAGCTCTGGCCATTTTCGGTGTCCTCAGCTGTCTGTACACAACATCTCTAACGCTCAGCAACTGGATCAATGGCGGCGACGTCAAGCCTCCGGGATACTGCGACTCCTGATCTGTATAGATTGCTCCACTACTTGTTTACTGATCCTCCTCTGATCCTGCCTTAACGAATTGTCCAGTACGTATATGATGGACACTTGTGATGCCCACTACTGTTGTTACAGATACATAGCTCTTCTGTCTGTTCAATTATCTTGCTTCCTTGCTTGTTCGTCGCCGTGCTTGGTTACGAGACCACTGTCAACATCAACCCAGCCCTTCCCTATCTGCTCTGGTCCTTCGACCGGTTTCTTGCCATGTTTGATATAGACTCTAGACGAGATTGCCAGTTTACGCACTATACATCACGAACCCACCAGACAATCAAAAGATCTGCGTAGACAACCCTCCTGAACAAGACTTTACGAGGAGGATGAGAACCTAACCGGACCAATATCCAATTCTAGTAGGACGCGATAGAGAAAAGAGAGAGAGCTATATACACACACAAAAAAAAAAAGAACAAAGCAACCCGCCATGCAAGAACTTGCTAGTAACGGAAAGCGGAGGAGCCGAAAGAAAGCCACGAGAACCCACAAAACCGTGTAATCAAAAGCAGCAGCAGCAGCAGCAGCAGCAGCAGCAGTAGCAACCGCAGCCCCCCTTACACACAAAGGCATGAAGGGAAATACTCCGTAAATCCCTTTCCCCCTTACCTAACTGCTATATCTTACAGGTTCCCAACACCCGTAATTCCATTCAGCGAACAACCCCCGCCACATCCGCAGCACAGAAAAAGAGGACGAGATACCTCGTAGGAAGGGAGCGAGTGCGAGAGAGAAAGGAGGAAGAGGCGTTGTCTATTGCCCGGCTTCGGTGGCTTCCTTGCCCTGCTGAGAGGCCTGGGCGAGCTTGGCTTCACGACCACCCCAGCTGTTTTTGTCCCCGAAGATCCGTTAGTTTCTGTGGTTTGTTGGGACGGTTTGACGATCATGCAGATCGGATACCGTGCTTTGGCTTCGGGTCTGAAGGGATAGAGAACTCACTTCCAGTAGTTCAGGTAGCGGTAACCTTGGGTCAGCTGGGCGGAGAAGTTGACGGCGTGGCAGGCGAACAGAAGGTAGTTCTTGGGGGAGACGGCAAGAGCGTAGCGCATGAAGGTACCGGAGTAGATCACGAGGGCACCGGTCATTTGGCCGGAGATGCTGTGGGAGGCAGGGTTTGATCAGCGTCAGGGCTCCAATTCTTGTTCTTTTGTTTATAATTGTTTCAATGTTCTTGGGGCGAGATGCTCTTCTTCGTTCACTTTTCCGTCTTGGCTGCGGGACGAAAGGTGAAGGCGCGAAAAGGGGGGGAAGGAAGGTGTTGGGTGAAACGTACATCTCGGGGTCCTTCTGGGTGTCCATGACAGCGGCGATGGGGATACCGAAGTTGGAGGCAGGGCCCCAGAAATCTGCATGATAATAAAGAGGTTAGTCGAGAACATGAACTAGCAGCTTGAAGACGCGTATGATCCCAGCTCTGCAAGCCATTGCCGTTGTGAGACGGAGACAAGCTGTTTCGTCGTCTCATCTGTCCGTCTTACTGCAGGACTTCATTGCCGGCCGATCTCGGTCAGGGCACGGGGAAGGGAACCGGGGCGCAACGCGTACGTGTAGAGCAGACATAGTCCAGAACCTTGTTGGAACGGATCTTAGCATTGATTGCCTTGATTACAGCAGCCATTTTGAGCGACGAAGGGGAGAATGAATGGAGAGGAGAGTGACGCTGAGAGGAGAAGAACGGGTTAAGAAGGCAGAGAGAGCGAGGGTTGCTTTGCTGCGCTCCCCGTCACTGCGCCGTCGCCGGGCGGAGAGGCTCGGATGAGGTCACGTGTTGGCCAGTTGCCGGAGTTCGTTGACTCCGGTCTACG